AGACTAAACTAGGCTAAAAAAAGTACACCTGTCTATATGCAAAATATTTAAAGATTATGTTCTCAGTATGTAAGAAAATGGGCTTAAATTTAGCAAATAATAATAGTATTGTGTTGAAATGAGGCTGTAAGTTTTTGCATAATTTCTTAAAACCAATAGAGCGACACAAAAATGCCACAGAAGGACAGAAAAGGTTGCTACAGTTGAAATGCCCCGTATTCAATTCAATTCAATTCAATTCCGTTATTCATTCATTTCTGTAACCGCTTATCCTATTAGGGGTGGGGGGGGCTGGAGCCTATCCCAGCTGACATTGGGCGGGAGGCAGGATACATCCTGGACAGGTCGCCAGACTATCACAGGGCTGACACATAGAGACAGACAACCATTCACACTCACATTCACACCTACGGGCAATTTAGAGTCACCAGTTGACCTGCATGTCTTTGGACTGTGGGAGGAAGCTAGAGTACCAGGAGAAAACCCACGTTGACATGGGGAGAACATGCAAACTCCGCACAGAAGGGCTCCCCTACCCAAGGGTTTGAACCAGGAACTCTCTTGCTGTGAGATGACAATGCTAACCACTGTTCCACCACACCAATTAAATTCAATTTAATTTTAAAATTAAATTTTAATTTTATTTATAGAGCCAAATATCACAAATCACAACCTCTGTCCTTGGACCCTCACAGCGGATAAGGAAAAACTCCCCCCAAAAAACCCTTTTGTCAGTCTAAAACAAGCTTATGTTGCCTTGATTTAAGATTTTTCAGTTTACTTAGATTTCACTTGTTGCATTATGTCAATCCAACATGCTCTCATCCCTATTTGTCATATTTTGAGTCTTGGGCAGCCTTTAGCGTCGTTTCTTGATGCAGAAGTGATGGTGGCAAGCAGCAGAAGTCGACTCACATGACTAAGAAGGGGCTGGTGGTTAGGTTAAACAATAAAACCACTTGGTTAGGGTTAGGGAAAACATCAAGGTTTCTAGCCCAGTCCCATTTCTACCTATTAAATCTTCCACATGGTATTGTGTGACCTCGATTGCGAGATAACCCTTGATGAGGAAAGTGAGAAATATTAGGGTAGAGATCTTTCCCTAAGAAATGAGACACCACTTCATGCAAATCAGCGTGGCCGATGTGCAGGCATCAGCCGAGTTGCTGATGAGTTTACACTAGTCCGACCATCTGTTGTTTGTATAGCCTACATTCAGATCGTACAGCAACAAATTGTTTTCCAAAACTTGCCGAAGTTGCTGACTTCGCAAGGTGTTCTGTGAAATTTCATCTTCCACTTCGTTGAAAGTGTGGGTCAGGGCTCCCTTGGAATCTAGGGTGGGTTTTAAGTGTTGGAAACCACTTCCACTCAATTCTGTTTTGGGACACCACTAGCCTAAACGTGAACACGCACAACCAAGTTCAAGTGGGTATTTCTAGGGGAAGTGTGGGTATTGGGACAGGCCCTACACATGACTGAATTTGAATTTCCTCATTCTTAAAAGGTGCTTTATTTTTATTTTTATGCTCACAGTACTGAGGCTGATGTGTTACGCAAGGACTATCCCAGTCATAAATTTTCTTCCATTCTTTGGGCAAAATTGTCTATTGCCTTAAAGAATGTTCACATTTATTGTGGCTTTTCAAGATATTTTAAAGTCTTCATTTAATCAGGATAATCCATGCGGTGCCAAATGTTTTTGCCCTGAGGGACCCCGGCTAATGCACCCACGTTTTATGCAAAGTCAAGAGCTGACGCCTTAGAGGAAAGTCAAAGGAAATAAGGGCATCAAAGACTTTAGCAAACTATTCAGTTGTGACGCATTTGCTCACAAGCACAATTTATGAACAATTTTAAAACACCGTTTTTATGATGGCGCTCAATCTAGTGCTTTCTTTGGCATCTCAGCCTGACCTACATATTCAGCACGAAGGGGAGAAAATGCGAAAGACAGACAGCGATAATGCAGAGAGAAGAAAATAAGCAGATAAAGTCAGAGATGGGAGTCTCTGTAGAGTGGAAAGAGGAGAAGTGCTGTTGTTGAGCAGCAGAAGTGTAGCATGAGGAGCACAGGATGTCATGAAATATGTAGGAAGGAGCAGCTCAGCACCGGAACACAAAGCCATTAAAGAAAGCCCTGGAAAAGGCAGTCAGCTAGAAATATAAATGTCCATTTCCTTATCGTACACAGATACACAGACACACAGCTAAAAGCACTTCCACAATGTTGGACTCGTGCATCTGCTGGTGAAAAGCCACACTCTAATGTTCTCAGACGTGTACACGGAGTTTAACACACTTTTGTGCTCTCAGGACATACGAGCACGCAGGTATACATGCATGTGAGGCTGAAAACACAGGAATAGACACAACCTCCCCCCTGCCGCTCTCCCTCCTCCTCTCGGCGCACTTTATGGTGTTTTGTAAATCATTGATTGGGTACCTGTAGGAGAGCAGCGAGACAGTTAGTCTGACATGCAGCGAGTGTTTTCAGTGTTTCAGGGTCGCACAACAGGGCAGCTGACAACTTCTTCTGGAGGCGGCTCAGTAGGTGTTGCTCGCAGCTGCATTCACTCTCAACTCTGTTCAACTCACTGGGTTGTCAACAAGCTGGTGCTGCTTTAAGGAATTTGTTGCAATATTTTTCTGCACTTTTCTTTATCAAACACGTTTGTGCTCTGTAATCATGCGTCATAATTTGGCAGACTCACAGCATTTTACTTTTACCTCTCTGGCAGCAGCTCCAGCCCATGCCCAGAGGGACCCAGGAGCCACACAGGATCTAATTTGTTTGTGGAAACGGGGAATCTTATATTTTCCTTTGTTCGGGCAGCCCAAAAAGATTTCAAAATTAGATCTCTAATGGGAATTGTTAAAGCCTACAATCAGGTTTTATTCCTTTTATGTCAGTTTCTCAGTTGGATGGAGTTCAGTTTTAAAGGTGGTGGTCTGTGCATCAGTTCCTTGTTGGTTCAAGTTAAGTCTGGGTTACAAGTCAAAGGTTTTACATTAGGTCAGAAACACAGATTGATGGTTAATGCTAAAAGCCATAAGCCAGGAGAAATGAAAAACAATAAATCTTCCAGCCACAGTTCTGGAAAGGTTACACAGGGTGTCTACAGATATAACCAAGTTAAATTGAAGACTTTTTAATACCACCTTATATTAAGTCAGGAAAAATGATAACGGTTGGATGAGTTTAAGTGTAATGTGTGAAAATGTGAAAACAAAATCTCATCGCTGTCAAAAATCCCTAATATTCAGGGAAATACTGTGGGAAAAAACTTCTTCTTAACTCTTGGGTCTGTCAGGCTGGAGAAATGTTCACAGTAATGTGATCGAAAATATTTAAGACCTATTGAATCTGAAATAAATTAAATTCAAGACTTTTTAAGGCCTTATATTAGGAAAACTTTATCTGAGGCAAAGACCTGTAGATACCCCGTTACAACATGAAAGTCACCCAAACCAATAAATGATGAGGGGGATACATCTCAAAGTCTGATCCCACTGACTGTGAAGTTTTAGCAGATGGCAGACCATCATCTCGTTAAGTCACCTGATACAACTTTATCTTTTGAGTATAAAACTACTCTATTATTCCAACTTCCCGATCTCTATCATGTTTTTCCTATTTTCCTGGAGGGTGGGGGTGTAGTTACTCTGTAATCAATAAAAGGTTTATGACTTTGATCTCTTGTAGATCTCTTCTGTTCCTTAAATATCAAACATCTCATACTCCATAGGCTGTCAGATTTGAACATGAATGTTCCAATTTTAGACTCAGACTTGCTCTGATGATGGTCTAGTGAACTGAAAGCTCAACAATATAGTGAAACATTGCATAGATGCAAGTGTGCGGAAATCTTTTTCTACTGGTTTGGACTTATTGATGTTTCCAGCACCTTGCCAAGACCAAGCCGGGTGGAGCGGTGGTTGTTCTGCGTCAGACTCAGATTTCTGAAAGTGATGAGCTTTCTTTTTTTTCAGCCAAGGACCCCTAACAAGATAGAAACTATACTGTGGAGCCCTTCTTGTGTGTGCCTCGGACTAACATGACATAGCTTACACACAAGTGGATAATTATAATGGTATTAGATTAGAAAGTTATCTACGTACTATTTTAGATCTAAAAATTAAAATGTAAAAAAACAGTTGTTTTTCATACTGAATCATGATGATCTGATAAATTTGAAAACTTTTCACAGCCTCCCTGACAGAGTGCCCACCCACCCCACTGTGAGAGTCACTACTTTAGCGTAAATCCTTGTCTGTCAGTTAAAAGCACATTTATAGTTTTCAATAATATATTAGAATATCCTTGTTTTAGTTTGACAATGCAGCATCTGATCAGCTGAGAGCTGTAGGGGTGACAGGGCCATTTGAAGCTGGCTGGGTGGAAACAACATGTACCATCACTGCTACAGGGAAACAACAGAGCGAAAGCACAAATGTCTCTCTCTCTCTCTCCACACACACACACACACACACACACACACACACACACACACACGGCTTCACATGACTAATTGCAATCAATAACCCCAACAGCAGTCCTCTCTGTCCTCATCATCATCACCATCATCATCACCACACCCATCAGCTCCATCATTTCCTCTGCCATGAATCAAACTTCATCCTAACTTCTCTCCATGTGGGTCACATCTTATTTGGACCCAACTCACACACACATATCACTGCTGGATATGGCTTTCCCTCTCTATAACCCATATCTCATATGAGCTGTGTGGGGCAAAAAGCATGCAATCTGTCCAGTAAATCACAGCAGCGTGGACAAGAACATTACGTTAAGATGGTGTTTGCTGCACAAACATGACGCTATAATCAGAGTCATCATAAACAATATGGGATGTTACAGCAGCAGCTTTATTATGAGAGTAGCTTAATTCACCCGTGTGATTAATTTGCTGCGTCCACGTGATATTTGCAATGATCACAGAGGACAATACATGAGGTGGATGAAGCTGTCGTCTCACCTGGATGCTGCAGGAGATCTCGGAGTCGTCCAGTAACCGGATCGTGCAGAGGACCTCCTGGTCCAAGGAGCGGATGCTGGGGCTGCGAAACCGGAGCATTTTCATCCTTGTGTCGGTTCTGTTTCAGCTCCTCATGTCAGCGGATCCACAGGCAGACCAGATACGCACATACACGGAGGACGTGCGCACACACAGGCGTGCATGTATGCGCCTCTCAATCGGGTCTTGTCACCCCTTGTGACGCCCTTGGGAATGAATGGGTGGATGGAGAGGTGGATGGATGGATAAGAGAATGGATGGATGCAACAGAGCGGGATGGAGGAGAGCTTGCATCCGTCTCCTGTCTGCCCACTGGTGGATCTACAGGAGGGAGAGAGGCTTTTTACCCCTTCCCTCTAGCGCTCTCTCTCTCTCCCTCCCTCCTCCCCCTGTTTTCCCTCCTCCTTGCAAATTTCAGCACATATTACAATTATGATCCCACGTGTGTGGTGTCACATCGCCAGCTGGTGACTGTAAACCACAAAGTAATGTGGGTTGTTTTATTCACTCACTGATTTTATGTGCTATTTTATTACAAATTCTAAGCATGGTTAAAACAAGCTGTGGGCTCTGTGAACACATTGTTTCACAGGCTATTGTTGATATAATAAAATCGACACACTCTGGTGCACTAAACAGTCAGTATTTTTGCACTAATTTGTGCATCAACATGTGATTATGTAAAAGAAAACCCTGCATAACCTATAATATCTTGAGAAATATATATTATTACCTTGCATTATTTAACAAGGTGACTTCCTGTGATCAAATACGCACACAGCTGCGGTCATACATCATTTTAACTGTGAGATTATGGTTTATTTTCATCAATAATGACGTCAGAAACTGTTCAGCTGCATCGTAATCTGAACAGGACGCTGGCCCTTTAAGAGCGAACAAGCCTCAGGCGTGCGTGCTACGTCATCACGTACTGTACCAGACAACCTGCCTCTGTTGTATAGCTATAGCAATATCTCTGGTTATAGACATACCATATTTTATCACTTCTTCTACACCAGTCTGACTGGTTCAGCAGGCAGGCCGGACAGACGTAGTGAGTGTTTTGTATCGTCAATATGTCGCCTGTAAAATGAGACGTATACTTCGTTTAAACATCGATACTTAAGCTCGTGTTTCAGGATGTTTACATATCAGAGCTAATGAACCGCTGGGTGACAGGGTTCACCTGTTAGGATCCCAGCAGCTACGGAAGCCCCGCCTGTTTGTTATAAAGCTAGGTCGCATCACATGAGCACTGTTGTTACTGTTACATGTTATGATGTTCACAGATTTGCACAGAAGTTAATACCAGCAGTGATAAAGGGATTTTCCTGCCTCCAGGTGTCTGAGGATCCACTGACACGATGATCTACATCATAATGGGAGTCTCAGGCTGTGGAAAGTATGTACACTGTGTTTATGTTTGTATAGGACAGACTTGTAAGGTGGTATCTCACATAAGAAGCACAATCAATAGAGCTCAACTAACATAAGTTTACTAAGTCACATGAGGGAAAAGATGCGGAAATGCTTTGGGAGAAATGCTTTGTTTTTTACATGAGTGAGGGGGAATTTGTTTGAAAAAAGATGGTCTGAGTGGTCAAATTGCTATGATAGCTATGGGAAAAGATTAATGAACACAAGCTACTCATATGTTGTTTCATTGTATCAGGTCTAACAGTCATCCAGGGGAGCACTTTTCTTTACTCTTTCTGTATTTAAACTTTATGTATTTCATTTTATTTTATTTTTAATTTCATTTAATTTATTGAGGTTTTTTGGTGCGTGTGTGTGTGTGGGGGGGGTTCCTCTATTAATTCATCGTCTTATGTTGCTGTACAGGAAAGTTGAAATACCGAAAGAAGAAAAACTGATTATCAGAATCAGAATCAGAAATACTTTATTGATCCCCGAGGGGAAATCATTTATGTTACAGGTGCTCCTTGCAAGAGAGGAAAGATATGTGAAAATATAAGAAATTTAAACAATAGTATTAACAAATATATAGTTAAATAAACAGGAATTATTAACAAACATAAACGTAAATAAATATATATATATATACATATATATATATTGTAAACTGAACAAGATTCTTTACACAAACAGAATATATACAGTCAGGGTGAATGGGGTTATTGCACAAGTTACACAGGCAGGAATGATTTCCTGTGGCGCTCAGTGGTACATCTTGGTGGTATGAGTCTCCCACTGAAAGTACTCTTGTGCCTGACCAGCACATGGTGGAGTGGGTGTGAGACATTGTCCAAGATAGTTCGTAGCTTAGACAGCATCCTCCTCTCTGACACCACCATCAGAGAGTCACACTCCGTTCCCACAACGTCACTGGCCTTGTGGATCAGTTTGTTGAGTCTGTTGGCGTCCGCCACCCTCAGCTTGCTGCCCCAGCACACAACAGCATAGAGGATAGCACTGGCCACCACAGACTCAAAGAAAATCCTGAGCATAGTCCGGCAGATGTTGAAGGACCTCAGTCGCCTCAGAAAATACAGACGGCTCTGGCCCTTCCTGTAGAGAGCGTTAGTGTTCTTAGCCCAGTCCAATTTATTGTCAGTGTGTACCCCCAGGTACTGATAGCTCTCCACAATGTCCACACTGACCCCTTGGATGGAAACAGGGGTCACCGGTGTCTTGGTCCTCCTCAGATCCACAGCCAGTTCTTTTGTCTTTGCCACGTTGAGCTGCAGATGGTTCTGCTCACACCATGTGACAAAGTTATCCACAACAGCCCTGTACTCATCCTCATCACCCTTGGTGATACATCCAACTATAGCAGAGTCATCAGAAAACTTCTGAAGATGGCAGGTCTCAGTGCAATAGCTGAAGTCCGTGGTGTAGAGGGTGAAGAGGAAGGGAGAGAGGACAGTCCCCTGCAGGGCCCCGGTATTGCTGACCACTCTGTCTGACACACAGCGTTGCAAGTGCACATACTGTGGTCTGCCAGTCAAGTAGTCTACAATCCAGGACACCAGGGGGGCATCCACCTGCATTGCTGTCAGCTTGTCACCCAGTAGACCTGGACGGATGGTGTTGAACGAACTAGAGAAGTAAAAAAACATGACCCTCACAGTGCTCGCCGGCTTATCCAAATGGGCGTAGACATGGTTGAGACACGGTTATGAACCATGAAATATAAAAGGCAGAACCTTGAATATGAAATAGAATCAAAGATATTTTCTATGACACCAAAATTACATAACATACTTTAAAATTCAAACCGTGCCGTAACTGTTTTCCATTTATCATTGTTCTCAATAGTTTGTTATTCTGATGTATCACTGCGTGACACACCTGTTCACATGATTTATCACTCAGAAATTAAAGAAAGAAATGCTTTGTAAGCTCCGTAATGACAGATACATGATATAATATGATGAAAAAGTGATTACGTGGTGGTGGTTTATGAACTGTTAATACCTCACTCCATCACATAATTAGTTACACTATACTACTATCTGAAAAGGGCAGTAAGCCAGCTGAACTTTGCTTAGTCCTGTAAAGAATGTAAATTAACACCTATCAACTAATAAATTATAAATTATATTAATTGCTGAAAATGAGCTGAGTTATTACTCTGTCTATAAAAATAGTGACAAATGGTCATCACAAAGAGCCTGGTTCTGTTCAACGTTTCTGTCTGTTAAAGGAACAGTGTGTAAGATTTCGGGGGGTTTAGTGGAATTCAGGGGTGAGGACTGCAGATTGCAACCAGCTGAAACTTCTCCCTGTAAGAATTTCTGTAGTGTTAATTGTTCAGGAGGTTTTTACCAGGAGCTGGAATATCCACAGAGGTATCTTCCTCTCAGAACAAATAAATAAATAAAGAAAGAAAGAAACAAATAATAAAGCAGTTTCAAGATACACATCAGAGTTCCTCCCCTTATTGGCTCATTGCAGATGGGTTGCTCACCTAACATCTGCAAATATGTACTCACCTATTTTTTCCGATAACTTACCCTTTTTCTGATCCAGATGTTCAGGGAGGTTTTTACCGTGCGCTGAATTATCCACAGAGGTCTCTTTCTCTCCAAAACAAAAGACCTGGTGATTTGAACTGGTAAAAGTACTGAGTAAAGCAGTTTCACATTAAAAAAATCCATGTTTTTCTGATGCTCTCATTGCAAATTGGCTGCAAACTACAGTGGCTGATGTGAAAACATGAATGGCCCTGTCTAGAGCCAGTGTTCAGTTTGTCTGTTCCAGGCTACTATAGAAACATGGTTGTGGAACATGCTGATGTTTGCAGACAAGGACCCACTGTAGATATAAATGGCTCATTTTAAGGTTACAAAAACACAGTGATTCTTATTTTCAGTTTATTATGTACTAAAGAAAACATATTACTCATTATATTAAATTCCATTTTTGCCAACATATCCTCCTAAATCCTACACACTGAAGCCCAAAGTGATGACTTAAAATGACTTGTTTTATCTGCCAGAGCACAAAAAACATAGATATTCAAATTAACATAACACAAGACAAAGACATGCAACAAATCAACACAGCAAAGAAGCTTCAATAGGGCAATGCTCAACACTGTTGTAAACTATTCATTGATCATCAATATAGACTACTTGCTGACTATTTAAAATATCCACCAATGATTTAAGCTCTAAACGACATCATGTCCGTGACAGTAAAGTGATGGCTCAAAGCAGTAGATCAGATCAATGTTACTGCACTGTATCAATTCTGTCTGTTATGTCTTACTCATTTTCTCATATAGGAGCAGCTTAGGGGCCCTCCTCTCAGAAAAGGTAATTGGATCCACCTCCCACCCTACACACACACACACACACACACACACACACACACACACACACACACACACACTAACACAACTCCATCATTCTTCTGCTCACAGTATGACTTATCACTGTTTGTATCCACCTGTCAGCTGGGCTGGCCGCTGCACGAAGGGGATGACTTCCACCCACAGGGGAACATTGAGAAGATGGCTCGTGGTGAACCGCTCACAGACCAGGTGTGTGTGTGTGTGTGTGTGTGTGTGTGTGTGTGTGTGTGTGTGTGTGTGTGTGTGTGTGTGTGTGTGTGTGTGTGTCTGTGTGGAGGTGTCTTGTCAGCTCACATCAACTGTCAGTCATTTACAGAGTGAGCCATTTCACTTCTGTCATGAGTAAATCATTCTCAGAGAACTCAACAAGTGGCCAGAGGAGGCTTCAGTAGAGCAGACAGAGAGAGCAGCAGGGATGAAAACTGAGCTTTTCATCGCTGCCCACAATCCTAAAATTCAGTTGAGGGATTTTTTTCCTGTTTGTCTAATATTTGTCTTTTTTTTCCTTGTTTGCTGAATTTCAAAATAAAGGTAGACTGACAAACTATTGACTGGCCGCCTGCCAACGCTGAGTTTACAAGCTCACAGGCAGAGCAAGCCTTGCCAACATTTGGCAGCCGTTTGCTGGTAGCGCTGTTTGGTGGCTCATGATAACCTCCCACTCAGAAATCTGCTTTGAGCAGCGGGGAGAATTCCCCCGGGACCTGCTCTGTCCAATGCTTTGGCATGTTTTTAAAATACTCAACAGTCGGCAGTTTGAGAATGGATGTAAATTTGGGATTACTGTCAGGCTGTGGCAAATACGTGTCTCTCATGCCAGTATTAGAGTTGGCAGGTTGAGGTTGGCATCACTGCACAGGACATGAGAGAATGTGATTCCTCTCATTCAAGTTCAGCTCTTCATATTAAAGGCTCTGCAGTGTAACAAAAATGTGACTTCAGATCAGTTGTAACCAAATTAGGACTGATTCTATTTCTGATTGCAGTGTAATTAAAGATGTGTTTGAGCTGCCATGTCTGTCTGCCTGATCTCTGTTTGATTCCCTGATTGGTTCTTTCAAAGACTCTCTGACTTGAGTCCATTAAATAGAAAATATTGTCAGTGTGGGCTCTGACTTGGAATAATAAGATCCACTATAACACCCTGTGCTGCATTATGGTCACTGCAGCTATGAGGGTACTTAGATTTTTCACGTTTTTTAAAGGTCCCATATTGTAAAAAGTCAGATTTCTGTGTCATTTTTGACATGAAGCAGGTAAAGGTGCTGTATAAATACTGTGAAAATATCGAAACACTCAATCCACAGAGCAATGCCCACAGTTCGTATTCAGTAACTGTGCCTTTAAACAAGCCGTCAGGACTCTCGTTAAGTTGTAATGTCACAACTATACAATAAACAAAAAACAATCTAAATGGGCGCTTATGTATTCCCTGTCGGAGTGTTGCCCTGTATGTGAATGGCATCAGCTGACAGGAAATAAACACAGACCCAAGCTGTTGCCTAGCAATGCAATTTCAGCTAAACACTCAGTAGACAAAATCACTTTTTTTTTTTATAATAACTTAGGGGTAGAAATTCCTTGCTTGAAGTAGCTACATGAAATCAAACAACACTTAGCAAAAGCTGCCTCGGTTAGTTCATTTTTTTAGGTACCTAAAAAAGGCCTACACCCCAAAAATATCAATATCGCTTTAAGTGTATGCTATATTTAGAATATTTTTAGCACGTTACCTTGCTGTCAGACAGGTTTTTCCAATAAGGAATTGCAGTCGATGTATCCATCAACAATACCAGTAATTTTACAGAGCAGAACACTAAGATGCTCCACCATGGCCTCAGTTGGTTGGTGTGTAAGGTAAAGCAGAATAAATATTCAAATACAGATTACACTGATATTGATTTTTTTAAGTGGCTAAAATACATTTTGCTGCAGCCCTGTCCACAGTAGTATATTGTTTAACTTCTGTGCAGGTTGATTTGTTTTATCAATGATGATTGCAAAGAAACAGAGTACATTAAATAAGCACAGCAGAAACGTCAGCTAGTACATTGCAGTTATGACTGAAAATGACAACAGAAATGAACATGTTTGCTGATTTCATATATCTCCGAAATTGAAATAAATTGCTAGTTGTTTATCTGGAAGTGAGTGTTGTTGAAGCCAAGATGTGTAAGACCAGCAAACACTGACCAATCAGAGCAGACTGGGCTTTTACGAGAGGGGGTCTTAAAGAGACAGGCGCTAAAACAGAGTGTCTCAGACAGAGGGTGAATACAAGTATATTCAGGCAGACAGTGTGAGAAAAATATGTTTTTTGAACATTAAAGCATTTAAACATGTTCTAGTAGTAACCCAAAATACAAGTACAAACCTGAGAATGAGAATAACATGGGACCTTTAAATATATTTTCATGTATAATGTAGTATTTTCAGAGGAGCAACATCTCTACAAAGTATAAAAATATTTTTGGTGAATTTATGAAACAACCTTCAGATTGATGACGCAAACCCTCAGTTTGCATTGCAGGCTCAGCTCGCCCTGTCTGTCCTGTGATGCTATGCAGTGCACAGCTTGCCTCTCTGATGGTCGATGTTATGATGAAACTAGGAGTGTATGTGATTGGATTTACCAACCCAGTCTTATTAAAGGGCAAGGCCAGAATCAGTGATCATGCCTGTGACCCCAGGCAGTGCCTTATCTTGCTTCCCTGGGCAGCCAAAAAGCTCAAAGCTGTAAACCCTGAAACCAAGTAAATGATGAGAACTCTTGTCTTTCTTTAAAGAGGATGTAGTCAATTTTTTCATAATAACAGTGCACCAAATGACAGTGTGATGTCTTGTGATGAACCTACAGAAAATTATTACCCGAATTTCTAACAGCAAAAGAAAAAATACAGGGTGCTCACAATTGTGAAGTGGTGAAATTCAGGTGAATGTGAGGTGCTCTTGAAGTCAAACTGGTTAGCAATAGGGAAAAAAGGAGGCCACTGGACATCAAGCCAAGGATGTATAGTTAAAATGCCTTCATCAAAGGAGAACACTGACCAGTTTCAGCCCACTCTGTGTCTGCCTTGTTCTTTCCACTCAAATCCTTTTGTAACTTTAACTTTTATGTGCCCTTAATCAGCAGTTCTCAAGCTTTTCCGTGTCAAGGACCCCTGAACTGACACACATTAGGTCATGGACCTCCACCAAAAAGGATTTTGGTTGTATGATTAAGACCAGTATTCTAAAGCTGTCAACCACAGTTAAGAAGATAACTATCCCAGCTGACATTGGATGAGAGGCAGGGTACACCTTGGACAGGTCGCCAGACTATCACAGGGCTGACACATAGAGACAGACAACCATTCACACTCACATTCACACCTATGGCCAATTTAGAGTCACCAATTAACCTGCATGTCTTTGGACTGTGGGAGGAAGCTGGAGTACCCAGAGAAAACCCACACTGACCAGAGAGAACATGCAAACTCATTGAAGGGCTCCCCCACCCCAGAGTTCGAACCCTCTCCCTCAAGGACCCATTGAGATCCATAGACACCTAGCTGAGAACCACTGGCCTAAACTAACAGCAGCATTTTAACTATACATCCTTGGCTTGATGCTAGTGTGCCTGGAGTAAGCCCAGGGGCTTCCCTTTTTCTCCTGTCACCTGAATCTGCAGCTTCTCTGTGCTTTACAGAGCTTTATAGCTCTCACTGCTCTCAGCATTGTTTTCGATGGCAGCAGGCGAAAAACCCACTGTGCATTACCAGCACCAAACACAGACAGATAGAGGTCTTGTGAACATAGCGGAGCATTTAGCAGCTAAAGAGACATTTCCCTCAGTGAAAGAGTAAATATTGGACTTACATTCATCAGGTGGCCAGAAATAGGACTCCAAATTAATGGTAATGTCATTCCATAACCGCTGGATGTGTAAATAAGCAACTGCAAAAACATATTGATCACAAATATTAAAAAAACAGCAAGGACAACTGCTGCTGTAGACAGTGATGAATAAATTAACAACATGCTACTTAAAACAAATTAACAGTTGTTTGTCTCTTCAGGACAGATTACCTTGGCTCCTCAAACTACATGAAGTCATTGAGAGGTAAGAACAAACAGACACATGAACATTTTGCACTGCGAACACATCATACTTTTGTATTGACAGAAATGGAGAAGATGATGGGTTTAGGGAGTGAGAGGGAGCAGTGAGGTAAGGATATATGCAGGCGTGAAATTGTCTGAAAAAAAGATCAGAACTATCAAAGATGGTTTTGAAAATTGAGATGAAAACCAGAGAGCAAGGAAAGGGAGTTTGGGAGAGTAAAAACAGATTAAGTGAGTGAGAGTGTAGAGGAGAGGTGGGGAGAGCTGAAAAGTATGCCATCTCTTTCTTAAAACGTCTGCGGCGACATCAAAGACTTCTCTTTCTTAACTCTTCCACACTCAGTCAGCCCGTATCCGCTCATCCTTGTATCCTATCTTTTCTCTCCTCACCTCCTTCATCTCTGACGCTGTTTGTGACCACAGTTCACTTTAAATGAAGTGTTTCTAACATTTCTCAAGTTATCCACACAACATTTCAGTGTACAGGTCAGCACTGCACTTGTCATTAATTCACTCCTGCCCTCACCAGCTACGTGCGTTTGTGTCTTCCCATCCCAGAGAAAGGCGTTCAGGCTCTGATGCTCTTGTGGCGTGCTCCGCCCTGAAGCGTCTGTACAGACAGATCCTGCTCTACGGCTCCAAAGCCCTCGCTTTCTCCTCCGGTCCAGACCAAGATATCCTGCCTCCAACCTACCCTGATGTCTTTTTTATCTTCCTACATGGTGACTACAATCTCATTCAGCAGAGGATGGTGGCCCGGAGGGGACATTACATGAAAGCAGACATGCTGCGTTCCCAGTTTGATGATTTAGAGCCTCCGTCGGATGAGGAGAATGTGTTGCCACTGGACATTAGGAGGAGCATCACTGACATGGCCATGGAGGTCGAGAAGCACGCCATCAGCCTCAAGTCGTCACCAGTGCCTTAACCACAGTTCATCTGTAGTTAATATCTTAGTAAAGTAAAGCACAGTTTTTGGTTGTGGTGCAAAATCACAGAGAAGTTTGCACACTAGGGGGAGTTTTTGGCTGATCTGCTTATTTGCACTGAAAGGGAAACTTGGTATTTTTGAACATGGACCCTATTTCCCCATGTTTTGTGTCTAAGTGACTAAATAGCATTTTTGATATTGGTCCTGTTTTGAGGAGACTCCTTCAGCCACAGCAGATAGGCTGTAGTGGCGGGATTTATACTTGCAGAACCTACGCTGTAGCCATCGCACGTGGCCTACACTGTTGTGAGCATTTATACTTGTGCGGTGGTGCGTCTGTGTCACTCTGCAGTTACACCTCCAACACACGTCGGTGTCGGGGTTTCTGTGAAGTGCTGTAAAGTTTTGTTGATTCGAAACACACATTAAAACAAAAAAATACTTCAAAAATTATTGTCTCCATTAGTCACGTAGACACAAAACATGGGAAAATAAGGTCCAGGTTGAAAAATAGCGAAATTTCCCGATTAATACAGAATCCGAATGATTCTGTGGTGCTGAAACATTTCAAAACACAGTCTAAGTGCCATTCCAGTTTATTCTGCAGAGTGTTTGAATTGGGACCATTATGCCAAGTGCTTTTTTTGTACATGAGATATAAATTTCCGACGATATTCCACAAAGAAAAATCTAGATTTTCATACCAGCGGTTAAAGATAGTGTGGATATTAGCTTTTTTAACTAATGGCAAGGACTTTGGTAGTTTTGTAAGTCTGCACTGTGAGGAAGTAAACAGGAAATGAACCTGGCTATGCAAAAATAAATAAATAAATATGAAGGAACTGATTAAATACTATGTATTTTGTTACATGGGTGTGACAGACACGAATCATTTACAGGAGACATTTGGCATTTTGGCATTATAGTCACTGACTGGGTTGATTCACAGTTGCATCAGTACGGGAATATGAAATAAAAATAGGCCGATGATGGTTTTGGTTGAATATTTTATGCCTCAAGTTTTTGAATGTCGTGTTTAATATTTTATTTTGCTTTGACAACAGACCAAAACCCAAAGATACTCTGTTTACAATCACGAGAGACAAAGAAAAGCAGCAAATACTCACAATTCAGAAGCTTGAACAAGGGAATGTACAATCATTTTGCTTGATATCAAATATATAAATGATTAATGACTTATCAAAGTAGCTGCCTATACTTTTTCTGTCAGTAGACTAATTAATTAATCAGCTAATTGTCTTAGTTTTACAATGAACTCATTTATATTTTAGAGAATAATGTTTTTTCCTAATACCTAAAATGTTAACTTTTGTATAAAGTTTTTAGAACTTAGAGGCGACAGTTAACTGGCAGACAGAAGAATCCCAGGCCTGTGGAAACATGCAGCTAACTATAATGATTCATCCTTTTTTTTTAACAAATTCTACTTAATTTAAGACATTTGCTTTTTTGTTTCATATGTCTCCAGATCTTTCTGTTCTCCCCTCGGCATTACAAGTCTCTCTCATCTGCTCTTCAATAGATCTTTAACAATCTGAGCTGCTTTACTGGAGTTTCTGACAACTTAGCATCAGTAAATGGATTAGTTTAGTTTCAAGCGACTGCAAATCATGTTTTTATATCATTTGATCTGTCAAACCACGTTTCATGCACTCACATCACCTGCCAGATGCACCGACCCATCTTAAAGTACAATCTTCACACTGAATATGTTAAAGTAAAATGATTAAAGGGATTTAGATTAAACACCTTAATGCTACACACTGCTGTGAGGCAGGTTCAAAAGTTCAAAGTTCTTTTTTTAAACTGTAGTGTACTGAAAGTCTTAATAGGTAACCTAATGTCTGTTTTATCACTGTTACAGTTAAACAAGTGATGTGTTTAGTTTTGTTATATTTTGGTATTGAAATCCACCCTGAATTCAGCCTCCTGCTGGAATCAGAATAATCCAGATTTTTTTTGGGATAAAAGGCATCCTAATCTTAGTTAAAAAGTTTTGAACACATACTGAAGGTTTAATCAAGATCAAAACTAAAACCGGATTACATGACCTAATGCGATTCCAAAATCTTTGTTTCTTTTAAACAAATCATTTTCAAGATCTGATCCAATCCCATCAGTTTACTTCTAAACAGCTGAAAACACACACACACACACACACACACACACACACACACACACACACACAGAGGTGACCATGACCGCGATGCCACCACACACCCTGCCAAACACACACCAACACTCAGCACTGTCAAGCTGTTTTTGTGGTGTGACTCATCTGCAAACCTCAACTCGAATATTTTAGGAGCTTCTAATCCAGAAAGAACCCCTTGGCTACTCTCATATCTCACACATCCAGACGACACAGCATACATACACACACACACACACACGCACACACACACCACCAGAGATTAAAACCCCCTCAGTCTGGCAGCAACAGAGAAACACACATAGGTTGTCAAGTGGATCACATACACACAGATCTGATGTCAGAGTCTGTGTCATGTGTTAATCCACTCAGTCTCTGGGAGTGAGGACACAAAAGCAGGGCTGGAAAACAGAGCGCGCACACGCACACGCACACGCGCGCGCACACACACACACACACACACACAGACTTTAATAAGTGGCTGAAAATCACCTTTAAATATTACTTAATGCTTATTTGGTGTTAGTTAATGGAAATAAGTACAAGTATGTCATGTTTGCATGTTTGAGCTGAACATGCAGACACAGATTTCAGGGTCATGATTTACGCTACATCTAAATAACATGAGAATAATAAAGAATCAAATAACACATTTGTGTCACAGACTAGATAATAATATATTGTGTGCCAACACAGTTGAAGCTGTACAAACCAAAACAGTTGATGCTACTTAAGAGGTTAAGTGAAACTGCCCTCTAGTGTTAGTAGTTGAGTAGTACAAGAGTAGATGTAAGTAATGCAGAGAACAGCAAAGTAAAATACCTACTCAAAAGGGGTTGAATAGGTTGGTGAATTATATTTATTAAAAAGGATGTATAATGTATGTTTTTAGTCAGTCAAAAATTGTAAACCAGTTTGTGTTTGACTTGTGTCTTTATTGATCGCTACACCAACTCAGGATACAGCATAATGTGTTTTAAGCCTCAAACTGGGAGAATTTCTGTTGCTTTTCTTTGTTTAATAAAATCAGAAATTGGATTTTGAACTCTTAGTTGAACAAAAACAAACATCTTGATGTCATTTTGGCTTCTGGGAACTTGTGATGGATATATTTTTTAAACCTTTTTTTTTAAACATTTTATGGACTAAAAGTTAAATCATAAAAGAAAAACAAACGGCAAAGTTGTATAGGGCTGCAACTAATGATTATTTTCACTGTCAATCTGTTGATTATTTTCTTGACTAATCGATTGGTTGTTTGATCTATCAAATGTCAGAAATGGTGAAAAATGTCAATCATTGTCTCCCAAAGCCCAAGATGACATCCTCAAATGTCTTATTTTGTCCATAATCGAAAGATATTCAGTTTACTGTCACAGAGACTGGAAAATATTAAAATTTGAATTCAGATATAAACATTTTCTTTATAAAAGAGGAGTCAGATAATTGATCATAGAATTAGTTGGGGATTTGACTGTTGAGAACTCTAGATAACTGATAATGAAATAATCATTTGTAGCAGCTATAAAACAACTACTGTCGTATTAACTGTACTTTTAATCCTACTGCAGAACAACTGCTAACATTACAATAAACACAGAGCCATGGAGAAAACATAATTAAAGCATTGTCATATGTCATTGTCATAATTCATGTGAAACAACAAACAGTGCATAAGTACATGATTATGGGACAACAGAATTATGTAAGCTGACTTACATCAGATCCACAAGTCAGCTAGGTGAGTGGAAGTATGTTGTTCAGTCAGTCGAAGTTTAGTGAAATCCAGAGGGACACAACATGCACCCCCTCCTCATGGCACAGAGACACTGTAGCATGGTGTCTTTACTGGAGCTGTGTTTAACATAAGGTTAAAGGAAGAGCAAAAAAATCCCAGGTATTACCAGTCAGTGCAGTGAAAGATGATGAGACACAAAGAGCAGTCTCACCTGTGTAAAGTTAATCATTATCAGCAGGTTGTGTTGTTCCAAAAGTCTTAACATCTTTCTGTCTCAGTTTTGGACTCAAATCCAAAACCAGGCTCAAATTAAATTTTCTCTTGGGTGAGTGAGTTGAGAAGATTTACTGTGCAAATCAGAGTGTGTGATAAACACTGACATTCTAGCACGTTTTGACTTTGCACAAAGTGAAGCTCTCATCATTTTAAACACACACAAGTGTAATTATCTCCAGTGTCTGCTCTTTAGAGCCTGTGGTGGATAAGACAGAAGAGCAGCAAGGGAGGGAGGGAGGGAGGGAGGGAGGGGACAGCACACAACAGATTGTGCCCCTGGTTCACTCTGCTGACTGAAAGCAGAGAGTGTGAATCCTCTGTGTGCTTCCAGCAACATCTGACTGTCTCTGGGTGTTACGAGCTCTCATTATCGTCCAGGTGGCAAGATGAAAAGAGGCCTGAGTTTCATGGTGTTGCACAGAGATTAATAATACATAACCTGACTCTGAATATGTATGAAACTGCTACAAGTCTACAGTATGTGAGGTGGATTTAAGTACCAGGTACAGACCTGTACCTGTGTATTTCTGTGGCTCAATTTACATTCTTATGTACTCACATTTGCTTTTTTGAGTGCATAAGTGCATTCACACTGACAAGTAAGGCAAATTGCAGTGCACGATGAGTACCTGGATAGAGTACTCATAAAGTTGAGTGTGGAACACTTGACACTTCTCACCCTCACTACGGGTAAATATGGGTTTAGACCAAATACATCAACATAAATGGCATTAATGGAATTAACAGGAAATTACTGGTTGTATTGATAACGAGAATTATGGAGTAGGTAGTATACATAAACCTTGACATATTACTCAAAAAACTGGAAAGATATGGTGTAAGAGGGGTTGTGTTGGATTAAGTAAAAAGCTATATTGGACACAGACAGCAGTTTGTGCCTAAACATAATTGTTGGGGTCCCACAGGGGTCAGTTTTAGGTCCCAAATTTTTTATTTTGTACTTAACGTATGTATGTATGGTGTCCAGAAAATTAAAATTTGTTCTATTCGCAGACAACACCAATGATCTTTGTTCTGGGGAAAGTCTGCAGCAGCTTTTGGAAGAAGTCACGACCGAAATGAGTAAATTTAAACAATAATTTAGCATAAATAAATTGTCTAAGAAGAGTCTGTGTATTTCAGTGTATGGGGTGGACTTGTGGAATGGGCTGTGTGATGAGTTGAAAAAAGGCACAAATATAATTCAATTTAAAAAACTATACAAAAAAGATGTTTTTGGCAGATACATAGAGGAGGAGAGGTTATGTTAGGGAAGTGCATATTCATTTTGTAACACTGGGTGGTACTTGGACTGTAAATAAATTAGGTTTATGACTGTTGTTGTAAATAAACTTGGGATAGTTGTATATTAGTTGTAAATAAATTTGGGAATTTGTATTAAAATTGAATTAAAAAATGAAATGTAAGAAATGGGTAGGGACATGTAAGTTTTACTTCTACCTGCTCCTTGTCAGACACTGTTATCTTTGTCTAGTTTGTTTTTTATTATTTTTAAAGTTTTGGTTTGAAATTAAGTCATTCATTCATTTATTCAATGGTCGCCATCTTGGCTACATAGCAGAAGGGGAGGGATCACCAAACTTGTGAAAATGGTGGCAGTGGAAGCAGCTGCAGTTGCTCCGGTGAATAGGCAAGAGGACAAGCCAGCAGATATTATGGCCAGCAACAGTCTGGATGCACGCATTATAAGTACATAGTGTACACAGTGTACTACATGGCTGTGTACTATGACACAGCAATAGTCTCTGAAAGGGTGAAAGTGATTGCATTCTTTCCTTTCTACCCTAATATTAACTCGTGTACATTTACTCAATTCATACAAAACATGTCAAGTCAGTTTTACATGTATTTATACAGCCAAATATCACATATCACACCTTTTCCTCAAAGGGATGCACAGTCTGTAAAGCTTACGGCACACACTATTCAAATAAGGAAAAACAAGTGTGAGGTGTACTGAGGTAAGGGCGTCAGTTATGCAGTGTTGGGAAGGTTATATTTGAAATGTAATCGGTTATAGATTAGTTACCCTGTTAAAATGAAATAAGTCATGTAAATATTTTATTTACTTCATCAAAGTAATGTAACTTATTACATTTGATTACTTTTCAAACAAAAGCTTTAAACTGGGTGATAAAGCTGAAAAATATCTGAAAATATGCTATGTCAGAAGAAGTGCTTTATTCTAAGTATAAGCTTTCTACCAAAAAGAATATATTCAGATGTAACCCCTTTGTAATTACCAACATTATTTTTTTTTCAGCAACTGTGACTGATTGCAACTACATTTCTTTTATAATTCATTTACATGTAATTAGTTACTCCCCACCACTGCTGTTATGCTTGAAAGAAACATAATTTACTACTGCACACAGAGGTTAGTGAGAGGAGTTACGGAATGAATATAAGTGCAGCAATATAAATATGGCTTGCATGTTTCCTGTGTTTGTTTTTTGTAGAGCACTTTGTAATCGCTGATCATAATGTGATCAAGTGTATGAGCTTAAATATAATATGTATGTGCATTCACTTATATATGTGAGTATGCACAGATCAACATATGTGTGTGTATGTGTACTTGTACATGCTACACAGGGAGGACCATAGAACATATTTTGGCAACAGAGTGAGGACATTTTTGCAAAGTGAGGACATTTAGGCCTGTTTGAGGGTTAAGACTTGGTTTTAGGGTTCAGGTGAGAGCTAGGTTTAGGTTAGGGTAAGTGTTATGGAATGCATTATGTCAATGAGGATCCTCACAAAGAAAGACAGTACAAGAATGTGTATGTGTGTGTGTGTGTGTGTGCACATGTGTGAGTGTCTGTCAGAGACTGAGCAGATGCTGTATAGCAGTGGTGAGGTCTCCTCCAGTTCTGATGAGGACCTGAAGGTTTGCCTTTCTGTCTCTGAAGCCCATTGAGCTCAGGTGCTCCAGCTCATCCTGGAACTCGGCCTCCTCTACATGAACCTGACAGAACAGGACAGGAGAGTTATTTAAAGGCGTTACAATAACATGATCAAAAAGTATTGGTTAAGATTTCTTGTGCCTCTAGGAGTGAAAATACAAGGTAAAACTTGTTTGTCTCTGTTTAATCTGCCTTTTACTCTTTAGAAAAAAAAAAGAAAAATCAAAGACACAAATGAACAAACCATGCAGTCTATTTAGTTAGTTTAAATCTTGACAAGCACCAGCTGCACTGGCCTCTATGTGTTGAAAGGCATAAGGCTCTTAAACCTCTGACCACACCAAACATCACAGCTGCATGTGGCCAGATGTGTAGGGTGGTACTAAAGAGCCACACTAGGAAAAGCATGTCACCACAGGCTGTCAGTGCAACCAGAGTAAAGCCAATCTCTACATGCGGGACTGCTTGTTTAGGTGCTTATTTGAAATGTGTGCTATGCTCAGTGAGCACTGAACCATTGTAAATTTAACATTAGGGACATGTATCATATACCTCCATTTTGTCATAATAATAATAAGAGGCCAGCATTGTAAAAAGAGGTTTCTAGGAAGCTTTTGGCCTAAAAACTAATCTATGGTTATATTTTAAGTTCAGGAGAAGTCACATCAATTACAGGAGAAGACAACCAGGTTATAAGGAAACACCAAGGTACCCCATGATCGGTGTTCGCCAGCGCCTGTAGCATCTGCTGTACAAACTGCTGCTGCTGCTGCTGCTCTGTCGTCATGGCAACCTCAGGACCACTTCCTGATTGGCTGTTGAGGACAGAGTCCGAGGCTCGCTCAGGGGAAGCATTAACACTGACTCCAACGTTTACAGTCCTGCAGGACACACATGGTGGTAACTCATGAAAAGTTTAACTTTAATACATTAAAGTGCTGCGTCAACCATCTTGTGAGTAATCTTCAGGTTGTACTGTGTGTGTTTATTTTGTATATTTATACTCACGCAGGTATCAGTGCAGGAGCCTCTGCAGCCAGAGTCTGTAAGCCCTGTTGGATGTGTAGCAGAGCCTCCATGGCTCTGGGGTTCAACATGGCTGCCAGCAGCTCTGGACTCTGCATCTAATAATAATTATCACTGACCGTTAGTAATGAAGATATTAATCACAAAAAGCAAACTACACTGCTGAGTGCTGTATCTGAAGATGAAGTCCGTTATTTTTTTCATGAGAAAACATTCAGGTGATGGACCCTTAGACACACATTACTAGTTTGGCTAAAAAGTACATGACCTGCTTACAAATTAACCATCTGCCTTAAAGGTATACTATGCAGGAATTGTTGGTTACTGATGGTAAACATGCTCAGAAGATACAATGAAAATGAGAGCCAACCTCAGATTCACTCTCGTTCGGAAGCTTTGTCCACTTGGCATTTTGCCTCGCTATATTTGCATTGTATTTGGAGATGTGTCCATAATTTTCGTAGCTTCCTCATGGATGTGTGCTGCTTACAGTCAGGCACATGCTTGCTACAATTTTATAAAGCCCCAGCCTCACCTGAGCATTGTGGGGGTACACAGGTGATGACTGAGAAAGATTATTTTGGTATGAGTCTATAAATTGCTTTTTGGAACTATGAAATCCTGCATTGTATACCTTTATGGTGGCTATTTAGGAAAATATGATCACATACAAGACATTTTTCTTAAAGTTGAGCAAATCATAATACAGTTTGTTATCTAGTTGCGAAAAGTGAGAGTTTAGTAGTGAGGAGAATAAACTGACCTGTTGCAGGAAGAGAGGGATCTGCTGTCTCATCTGCTGCTGCAGCTGAGGATTTCCTGAGAACAAAGGGTGGCTCAGCAGCATCTGAATGAGTATGAAAATTGGGCTTTAGGATCTGTCCGAGGGTGTTGGATTTGAGTGGAAAGATTACCGGGATGTGTTAACAAGAAGTAGGGAGGGAGGATTGTAGCCTGGTTCTACGCCACTGAACTGAAGTCTATATGATATTTTTCAGCAACTCAGATGCTCATAAATAACATAAAGTAAAAAAAAAATTAAATGCAGTTGTGAAGTGGAAATTAGTGCTCTGATTGCCTGTCATACAATTTCCATAAAATGTGTATGCGTCACCTGTGCAGCCAGGTCAGGGTTCTGTCCGAGGCAGTTGAGGAGACTGCTGACGTACGGCCCAGACAGCAGACTCTCCATCAGTCCTGGAGTGGAAGTGATCTCCTCTAGCAGTGACTGCAAGCCTGAGGAAAGACGGAGGAGACCACAGATATAAGATAATGAAAATCAGGGATAAATGTATGGTGTATGTTTAACTATACAATTAAAATGATGACTTGTTCCTTAGTTTGCCACCCTAAACATAACTTTAAGTACATCAAAGGACAGATAGCTGAGAGAGCAGATGTTTGCATGATTGCAGGTTTGCCAGATTGGTCTGATTACCCCACTATTCCATGGCACCTACTTATGGGTATGAATTTCTACTTTTTTTCTTAGTGTATTTAAACTGGATGGATTTGTATTTTCATGCCTGCAGTAACAGTGCTCTGAGAGTTTGAATTAGCTATGGGCGAGGCGGTCAGTTCTCTGAGAGGATCTGTGGATTGACTGGAGACAGGTGGAGTCTGCTCGCTTTTTCCTTCAGTTGGCTGTTGAGTCCCAGATGATGCAGTCACCACTGAGGGTGCTCCCATCTGGTTCTGAGTGGGAGCAGAGAAGAGACGCCAAAAATCAATAGATCAGATTGACATTATCCAAACAGATAGCGGAGGAAAACATCATTTCTACACCTGTACCTGTGAAAATTTTTGCCTTTTTGTTTCAGTCTTCTCAGACACATCAGAATCACTGCTGATGCTTTCAGAGTCGTCCTGCTCTGGCTGCAAATTGCCTTGTGCTCTGTCTTCATTACGCATCACTTCCTCTATCATGTCAGGGTTCCTGATGAGCTCCAGCACCTGGAACATTGAACACGTGAGTGGAAGACATTAGTCAAGGAGCGAGCAGCTGTGTTCAAGTTGCAGAGATGAGTTGTTGAGATGAAAAATGACCATTCTTCTTCATTTAACAAAGTGATATCACACGCCTGTCTTAAGCCTTAAGCACATTTAAAAAAAACATGTTGAGATGACATACTTTTAGTGATTCTTACTGATCAATGTAGCCTTTTATTATATTAAAACTAGAACTTCACAATAATCACGGTGATACAAGTTGTAACTTGTACACAGTATAATACACTAGACCCTGCCATCCACTACTCACAACCAAATCTGTATCTCAAACACACACTCACACACACTCCTTTATATCCTTACCTGTGTGATGATATCTGTGTTGTTAAGTATATCTTCCACCTCTGGGTCCGTCTGCAGGAGCTGCTGAATTTGGGGATTAGACAAAATGAGCTGTCTGGTTAGTTGAGGGCTGGAGGTGGAGAGGGTGCTCTGCACTAAAGGGCTGCTCAGGACACGGCGCATCATCTGCGGGTTAGCCAACAGCTGGCTCTCCATCTGGCGCTGCATTGCAGGGAAGAAGCCAGGCCCGCTGTTTGTTAGGCCAAGCCTGTCCAGACCTTCCACTGTGGATACAAGATCAGATCAAAAGAAAAGGAGCATATAAATGACCTGGAGAACTGAGTGGGATCTGATCAGCCAACAGCAGCAGTATGAACCCAGACAAGGCAATGAGGGGAGTTCCTGTGCTCTATAGTTCTTACCCAGACAGAGGGGAGAGGTGGGAGACGGTGTGAAGTTATCATGGTCAGGATCGAGAACTGCTGTGAGCTCAGACTGGCTTTCTGAAGGTGGATCACAGGTGGGTGCAACAGACGGATGCTGTGGCCTGGGAAGGAAGGAAGGACTGAATCTAAATCCAGAGTTCCAGTACTGTTGTAAAACCTACATGTGCAGGAGGGGGTTTTTAGCTCAAGTCAAGTTTGACACATTATTTGGAAATCTGAAACTGATGCTGTGTATAAATAATATAATTTCACTCTGATTATATAAAATTATTGCTGAATTTCAAAGCATTTGATTCATCCATTTACAGAAGATCACGTTTTTGAGAAACTCTATTTTAATCAATTATCGCAGTACATCTTTTTGTTTAATATTTTATCACAATCTCAATTTGGGTTTAGACCAAATTTTTCCACCACCACAGCTGTTCTAAAATTCTCTAATGATGTGTTCTCATCCTTTGATAAAGGCCAACTTACAGGTGCCATTTTTATTCGATCTATCCAAAGCACATGACATGACATGGTTGATCACCAGCCTCGTCCTTGAGTAGCTCTATTCTATTGGTTTAAAGCAAATTGCTCTCCTCTGATTTAATGCTTGTCTTCATAACCAACGTCAGTGTGTTGTCTTTCAGGGTTATCAGTCTGACTACTTAATTTTTGAAAAGGGTGTTCCACAAGGATCCACCTTGGGTCCACTACTTTTTTCTATTTTGACCAATGCCTTTCCTCAAGTATGTTCAAACCGTCACACCCATTTGTATGCTGTTGACACAGTTATTTACATTTCTAACTCTGATATATTACAAATCCAGGATTCTTTACAGCTCGAGTTTAACTTGGTCCAAAATTTGTTTCATAACAACAGACTTGTACTAAGCAATAAGAAGTCCGGCAGCATGTTTTTTGGTACACAACACAACTGTTCACATCCCCTGAATATGCATATTTATTTTGCTGACCTCTCCACAAAGCTGTCTTGTTCAAATATCTTGGACTTTGGATCAACCCTGAACTCTCCTTTAAGTCCCATATGGATTTTATTATCAAAAGAGTGTATGATTGTCTGAGTTCATTTTATTCATCAATTAATTGTTTTACATGTCAGGTCAGGAAAAGAATAATTTCACAGTCGATATGACCTATTATTGATTCTGCTGACACTGTCTATCAAAACACACCTGACACTCATCTTAAACCCCTTAATGTAGTGTATAATTCTCTATGTAGATTCATTTTGAGGTGTCCATATAGAACTCACCACTGCTTCATGTGTGAACCTCTGAATTGGCTGCAGCCTAAATCTAGAAGGCAAATTCACTGGATTCAATTTATTTTCAAATGTGTTCATTTCAGTTGTCCCTTGTATTTGAAACAGTTTTGACTCCATGTGATTCCTCATATCCGCTTAGATATATGCAATATTCCTTTTCCTTTGTCCCCAAAGAAGTTGGATGAAGGTCATTCCAGTACAAAGCTTCATCTGACTGGAATAATCTTCCTCTTTTCTTGTGATCTGTTACCTCTTCCTGTTGCTTCAGGACTTCTTTATATTCACATCTCAAAATGCCTGTGGATATTCAAAACAATGAATATCTCAAAACAACTTTTTTATGTTTGTAAAATGTTATACTTTAAACTGCCACATAACTATGTGAGGTCATGGTATCTATTTCTAATTTTCTTGTACAACAGCTAAGGGCAGGGGGTGTGGTTCGGAGGTGGTGAGCAAGATGTCTGTATCTGTGTATTTGTAGTGTATGTTATGTAATGTAGTTTTGTCTGTGTTTTTGTTCTGTATTTGTGTTTGAGGACCCCCTTGAATATGACATGCTACATCTCAGGGGGTTATCCTTTCAATAAATTCAAATATATACATTTCAAATTGTTATTGTTTGCAGGCTAACACACGTGTCCCTCTTCTCTAATGCAATAAACTGAATAGGACGCTGACTTTGTCAACCTGTAACACAGGCACAGTATGGTGCAGTTCTATTTTTAGCAGTGCTACATTTTCTACTTTAAAGTGACACTGCAAATTTATTAGCTCTCTATGATTTTTAGATTTTGATAAACGTAGTCCTGGTTAACCAACACTGATTGTCCTGGCGCACAAAAGTAACACGACTCAAAACTCACAGTCCACCTTTATATCTACATGCTGCATGTAGAATACTAAAGACAGTTATCATTTCTACATGTGCACAGTATAGATTATAATATCAAATGTGTCCGTCTGCCTGTGACCAAATGAGCCAACTCCATCTATATTTCTGTGTACCTTTGGATCATAAAGATGCTGAGTGACTCATCCTGTGCTTTGAGGTGACTCAGGAGCTCTGACTCCTTGAGGACCCGGCCGGAGTGGCTCAGCACCAGCTGCTCTGCAGGGACTCCCAGGCGCTCTGCTAGTCCCCATTTCAGCTGTACACAAATATACAGACACACACATACCATAACATCTGTTTGTCAGGGAAAAACGCGGTATGGAAATATTCTTAAAATAAGTGCCTTTAAAAGACATAAGGCTACAACTAAAGCGACAATCTGGCAGTTTTTACGCACACATTAACCAAGTATCGGCGGGTGTGTTTGGCCTCCTGACCTGTCTGACGGTGCAGCCTCCTCTAACGCTGAAGTCTTTGCTCTCCGTAAGACTTTTGATCGAGACGTGGATCCTCTCAGACCTCTGACGACCACCCGGTGTTCCCGGCTTATCATTCACGGCTCCTGACATCTCAGCCCTGCCCGCGCTGACGGTGAAGGTGATGAGCAGACCTGGAGAGGAGCGCGCAGTGCCGGGGCTGAGGTGCGTGCCTGTCCCGATGACTCGGCAGAAAGTTGTGTGGGTGAGTGCCAGCTCTGACCCGACTGCGCAGGGTGGCGTAGATACAAACCCTAAGCGTCTTTATTATCTCTGGCACTTTTTTTTAAATGATGTACAGCTTTTTACAAGGGTGGTACTGCGAGCTGTCTGATGACACTAATTCATGCCTTATTGTTATGTAACCGGAGACAACTTAAAGATACAGTACACTGCAAATCCTGATGCTCCCTGATTGAGTTCACTATTTTTTTCAACATTAAAGGGACAGTTAAACCCAAAATCAAAATCATATTTTTCCCATTACTCGTAGTGCTGTTTATGAGTCTAGATATTTTGGTATGAGTTACAGAGTGTTGGAGCTATTGGAGATGTAATAAAACTAATGGCACCCTGTGGTGCTCAAAGTGCCAAAAAAAAAAAAACGTATGTGAAAAATTCAACAGCAATGTCTCCAGAAATCATGACCTGGTTACTCAAGATAATCCACAGACCTTGTTGTGAGCAGTTCACCTAGAATTATTTTTGTGCGCAGTGTCCCCATAGCCGGTGAGGTGCTCGAAGTCTAAGATGTTCTTGAATTGCTCTTAGTCTGGCCCCTCCCCTGGGACCACTTTGCCTTGGGAGACCCTACCAGGAGCTATTTGCCCCGGACAACACAGCTCCCAGGATCACAGGGACACGCAAACCCCTCCACTACGTCAAGGTGGCAATTCTTGGAGTGATTACATATCTGATCTGGCCTGGGAACACCTTGGGGTCCTCCAGGAGCAGTTGGAGAACGTTGCTGGGGGGAAGGACACCCGGGGTAGTTCGCTTGGCCTGCTGTCCCCCCAACTCGGCCCTAGATAAGCGGCTGAAAAAGGATGGACGGATGAACGAATCCCACCAACCGAATCACCTAGCAGAGGAAAGTGTGCATCTGCTCATAGACACAAGGCTTCTGCTCATGACAGCGCCAGATGTAAGAATTTATAGAGCCCTCTTCCATTGAGCTGTAGCGTTAGCTAACTTAGTAATGCTAGGTGAGCCAGCAGTAGATGCAAGATTTCTTCTGCACTTTCAGGCAAGTGGATGTAGGTAGGAAGTACACAGTTTCTACATAAAACTACTCACAGCAAGGTCTGTGGATTATTTTGAGTAACTGGGTCATAATTTTTGGAAAGAGACATTTCTGTTGAGTTTTTAGAAATGTATTCTTTTGGCGCTTTGAGCTAAGGCTGGGCGATATGGACAACAATTCATATCTCGGTATTTACAGGCTGACTGGCAACACATGATAAATATCTCAGCATTTTCTAGTAAAAAAGTAAAAATTGTTATCTCTTATCTGCATTTCAACTCAAAGCTCTTAAAGCTGTCTAAATCTTGACATTTACAACAATATACAAAACAAGGGAAAATGTTTTTTTTTCACTGAAAAAAGTATTTTATTTACTTAACAGTGAGAAAGAAAAAAACAACAACAAAAACATACATTTCACTTCTGTCATTTTGGCATTAAACCCACACAAAGAACAGGCACGCGGCCTTTAACAGTACTATAGATGCTTGTGTCTGCAGAGGGCAGCACTGTGTGCCAAGTCACCGATTGAACACAAAGTTTAAATTTAGTCATCTCTGAAAGCTTAGTCATTCTTGTTCAGCCGTGTATTACATCCTGCTGCCTCTGGAGTGTACTCTGTGTGTGTGTGTGTGTGTGTGTGTGTGTGTACTTAGGGGGGCATGCATTATATGCTGACATGGAGTCCCAGCTAGAAAAAAAAAGAACCAAATAAGGAAAGAAAACCCTGATTATGAGATCAGTTGATTTTTTACTTCATTTGTTCATCCATTTATTGAGTTTTGCTTTTAAGATCTTTTCTGTTTTGGACCTTCATAGATCCATCTCCGAGCCTTTCCTCCCTTTCTTGTTTCCCTGCCAACCAGAAAAACCCAGAAAGTGCAGAATTGTTCATTATAATATTACAACACATTGTATTTAAGGTACAGGTTGATAAAAATACAAAGTGGGAAAAAAAATCATTGAATGAAATTCCCTGAAGCATTATTAAATAGTGCAAAGTGTTACTTTGAACTTAAACCAAGCATACTTCTACTTTGACCTCAGCTGGGTGTAGTGATAAACTAAAGCCCCGTTTCCACCAAACACTTTCAGTATGGTACCTTTGGAACCAAATGTAACCCTTCAGACATGGTACCTAGAACCTAGCGTTTCCACTGCAAACAGTACTCTTTCATGTGGGTGGAGCTGTTGTCACTCACTGCTCCGTCCAGCACTCACTGTTTCCTCATTACCGGTGACACAGATGGAAGTCTGCGCCTTGTTATCATCCACAGAACAAAATAGAACAGGCTGCAGTGAGAGTCTCTCTCCATGGGATGTTTAAAAATAGCGGGTTTGTGCATTTAGTCCTTCTCAGTTAAGCTCAGGGGTTTTGAGTTGCTGTAGCCCACAGGAATGACGCTCCGAAAGGCTTTTTTTCCATGAGTGAGGATTAGAATATATGAAGTTCACAAAACCCTGTTAAATTTTTTTTTTTTATTATTATTTTTTATTTTTAAACGCTTAAGATCCGCTCATTACTAAAACTGTATGTCATCCAAGAGAAACAATAAAAACTAAAGTAATGATCAAAGTTCTCACAGTGCAATTTAAGGTGTGATGATGGATTCATGGCGTCAACTCATGCATTGAGTAACATTTTAAGTAAACGTTCCACCTTAAAAGTTGCCGCCAGTCGGCCCAGTGAATTAAATTATTTTTTCTCAGCCTACAGCTGCTGTTGACTAATACATGTAAAACTTGCCACAGTATGAACAGTAGTTACATGAGCCTCACAACAAGTCACAACTCAGCCCTGAGCAGAATGACCATCTGCTATTGACCAATCAACTGACAGATCTGTGTGCTAGGTACCGCAACAGAGGGGGGACCAAAAATGGTGACGGTACAGAACGATTCTATTGGTACCATCCACAACTTTTCACAGTGGAAACAGAAAAAAAGCATACCAAACTGAACTGAACCATACTGCTCGGTGGAAACAGGGCTTTAGTTACACTTTCAGTACTGTATTTCTGTGCTCTGGCCTACTCACACTGCAACTGCTCTCACTTCACCTGACTCACTGGCTGCTTCTTGTCTTGTCTACAGGAAAAAAAAAAGATGGGGCATGGCATGCACACATACGCACCCATGTATACAGACACATATGAACATCAGCTAATACACAGGCCATCACATTCACACAGCGGATCTTAGGTTCTCACAAGGTAAAATGTAAGACAGCATCGCATCTATCTAAAACTCGACCCTTAAATCTGAGTTCTTCTCTTTCTTGTCACGGTGATATTACCATAACAGAAGTAAATGAGTGATTGTTTTTAATCTCACCTGATGTTTCGGTTGTTCTGATTGCAGACCTTTGACTTTAGATCTTTCTTGTTCAAGTGCAGCGTGTAATGATGCTACCTAAATGAAAAATTAAACAATTCAAATGTACATAAATGGATCTCACACACCTGTGTTCCCATCTCATAATCGCTATATGACCATCACGCACCTGTAATGACAGTTCTTCTTTTATGTGTAATAGCTCTTCCACCTGTAGAAGAAGTTCTGCTTTGTCTTTCACTGGAGAAGAGAAACATCATGAAACATAAGACAAATTGTTCTGATAATCGTTAGGAAAGACGAGAAAAGGACAGAAGAAAAGAAGGGAGGCCTATCTGGTTTAATTTTGCCGATGTTCAACTCACTCTCTCCCTGTTGGAGCATTTTAAGAAGCTGGGAATTTCTTGTTTTCACCTCTCTGTATTTCCCCTGCAGAGATGAGGAGCAAGAAGAAAAACTTTATTTGTTGTCATAACCTCTCAGGTAAATCATCATTGCCTTAATCCTTATTTTTCCTGAACAGTATCACTTTAAAACAAAGCTCAAGGCATTTATGTATCAACTAAAAGGTCTGTAACCAACAGTAGTAAAAGCATATATCAGATGAAAGAAAGGACTGCTATAATCTCACACAGGTGGTGTATATTTATATACAACAAATAAACATTTCTTTGCATTTTCTAGCAAATCAGGGTGACATTATAGAACGGTGGGGAAACTGTGTATGACTGCTGACCTCCCACTGTGAAATGTTCTTCTTTAATTTGTCGATTTCCTGGTCTTTCTTCTCCAGGTCGTACTTCAGCTGCTCTGCTCGGGGGTCCTAACAGGAAGGGCAGGTAAAAAGAGCAACTCAGGAGATGTTCATACTTTCACGCTAATTGAGCTAAGCAAGGAAACTTGAGATTCATAATGAACCGCAAGTGACTCGTGAATGTGTCAAGCTTGTAAAAACAAACTTCATTTTGATGTATAGTGAATTTCTGGCACAGAGTTTTTATTTTGAAGTGCTGTTTCCTTTTGTAGAGTGAATGACTAATGACCAACGTCTTGACAGAGAGAGCAAACTAGCTCAATGACATGGCCGAACAAAAGTATGATGCTGAATATATAAAACTGCGTGGACCTTGAACTAATGACTCAGGACAAATCTGGACCCATTAAAAAATGCACAAAAAGACAGCTGTACATATGTGTTTCTATCCGTCTACTCACCGGTTCATGTTCTGTAGATGTGTTGACTTCCTGTCCCTGGCTGTTGGCGTACTGCTCACGTCTCTTCTCCTGTTGAATAATTCGAGTGACATCATCCTCAAGCTTGTTAAAAAAACGCTCCTCCTGCCCGGTTCCCAACGCTAGGTTAGTCACTCTGGCGTCCTGGACGGGAGAGAGGTCAGTGTTTCAATAGGGATACATCACATCATATATAACATATCTAACCCCAAATGAAACTCTGTAGATATTACTGACAGGTTAATATTAATTCTATATTTATATACAATAGGGTTCTGACATGACAGCACAGATTAAGCAAAGAACAGATACTCTGGGACTTTCCTCACCTCCTTCTCTTGTTTCTTACTCAAATGTTCTGCAAAGAGACAAAGTACATTGACATTAATATTAATCTGAGCCTGCTGGGCTACAGACTGCGACACACAACATCATAGTGTGACAGCTTTTGAAAGTGATCAGTAAGGTTATCTCACCTGCACTGCCCTCAGCCTGGAAGTCCTGCAGTGAAACTGTCTTTTTGTCTTTTGCCTGCTGATTCTTCTTTTTGTCCTTCTTCCCTCCTCCCTCTTTTCCTCCTCGTGACTTTGGCGAGGATGCGTTTGTGTTGTGCTGAGGGAAAGCAGATCATTTGACTTTAACTTAAAATTAAGGTTCTTTTCTTATAGTTACTATTTACAACAAACTACATTAAATAGCACTTTAAAATTAAACAGAACTCAACCTCCATTCATGATAGAAATGATTTTAAGGAATATGATGAGCAGGCGCCCCATGTACAAGGCTGTAGCCGCAGCGGCTCGGGTTCGACTCCAGCCTGTGGCCCTTTGCTGCATGTCCCTCCCTCTCTCTCCCCCTTTCACACTTAAGCTGTTCTATCAATTAAAGGCTAAAACGCCCAAAAAATATCTTTAACAAAAAAAAAAAAAAAAAAAAAAAAAAAAATGACAAGGACAGTGATGTGTTTTTCATTGGTTTGGCTCTACCCCAGCACTGGATTTCAAATCAGACAGTGACTACGAAGTTGGTAACATCCATGTTGGGTGAACAGTGTAAAACTTAAGATTAAATTTTACACTTGGCAGCTGTGTCTGAATAGTGTTACTATTTCTACATGTTTTTTCTGATGTAGTCATAAAAACCTTCAAATTAAAGTCAGCATTTTAACACCACACACATAGTTTCATTTCAAGTCTAATGAGCTGGAGAACAGACCAAAGACAGATACACGTAGTTTAGTTTTGTAAAACACTAAAAGGGGCAACTACACTTGAGTAAAAGTGAGACTGAGTGCCGCTGTAGTGTATTTTCTTATAAAACAGCTTCAGCTAAATTTCAAATGATGAATTTACCGCAGTGATGACTTAGCACATTAAAAAAAAACTTCATTCTACTGGGAATTCTTGCCACTTCATACAGAGGAGCACTGGCATGAACAGTGCACCAAATAAAGAGTCCTGTACAACTCTACTAATCTTTTAACTCTGACCAGGGTATGTGCACTTTTTGAAATTTAATTTAATGCAACAGAGAAAACTGAATACAGCTTCCAAGGCAGAATAAATGCACACTGGACTGAGTGACATGATTTAAATAAATCACAAAATTAACATGGATATTCTTTTGATATTGGTATACATCTCACATAACAAACATATGCAAAATCACATATACAATTATCAAAATATGATGATTAAAATGTTAAATGCCATGAACTGTGCTGCACTGTTATGCATTACACAAAACAATCCCTAACAAACAACTCCTTAATAAATCTTAAATAACTGCTTTTGGCCGTTTTTAATTACAATTTGCTTGAAATCCTTAATTTAGACATCAAAAATTTGTAAAATGATGAAGTAATATGCAAAACAATATTATTGCTGAGCCCTAATGCACATAAATGCAGACAAGGTTGTCAAAACCTCCCCAAGCTAAGACTGAACACAGACAAATCTAAGTCCAGAGTCCCCTTTGAAAGAGGTGTATTATTGTGTGAGGGCAACGTACCTGTTTGTTTTGTTCAAACTCAAGTTTACTTAGAATTAAGGCTTTTTCCAAGTCGGCCTCATAAAGCTCAGTGGTTATCTACAGGGAGACAAGGACAACAGATGAGAAGAAACACTCACTTGAGGCAAACAGCTGGAAACATCTGTATGGTCAGACATGAACAGTTTGAAATGCAGGTATGTCAGAGAAAGACAGTAACTTATATTTAATGCATCAGCTCTTTTCTAATGCCTGTTACAAATCAAGATAATATGCACCCTTACTTTCTGCAACAAGTTTTAGTAACTGTATTTTAAGTTAGGTAATTATTCTAAGAACACCTTGCCTCTGGCTCACACTGCTGCACACAGCCCTCAAACCAGCCCTCTGCCCCGACCTCTGAACAGCTCTGCTAAAACAGCTGGAAGTGATGTGGCTTCCTGAAGGGCACGTCAATTATTAAGAAAACATCATCTACAGTATGGCTCACCAGCTCACACATTTGTTGTTGTTCTCTTACCTGCTCATCCCTCTGCTTCCACTGCTGCCACCCCTCTGACGGTATATTTTGTTCCCCTGGTGCAGGATTGAGAAGTTCACTGGCTATTCCTGACAGTGTCATACAGGGAGGCGGGACACACGACTTCTGAGGAATCTTCTTGAAGGCCAGATTACGTAACTGATGGAAAGATATGAGATTAATTCAAACACTGACTCCTGTTATAACCATTATTGCTACAATAATGAACACTAACTTGCTCTACTGTTAGCAGTAGAAGTCATCACCATGTGTTTGCATGTACAGAAGAAACTGTCGTCCAGTCTTACAATGATTACAGCCTGATAAGAGCCTTCTGCTCACTGTCGACAAACCAGCCAGGTCTCTCCTTATTCCGTGCCCAGAATAAGATCTACATCTGGTGAGCACACTTTTTGTTACTTTCGTCCTGTTCTCTGGTACAAACTCAAACTGTGTCCACCTTAAAAAGTGCACTCAAAACTGTTCTTGTTTCTTATTACTTCTGTCTAAGCAGTGGATGTGGGCCCCTAAAGTCTTTGGTAGGGTTAGTGGTTCTTTGCACATGCATTTTAACAAGGCTGCAACTTAAAATTTCTTTTCATAGTCAGATCTTCTGATAATTAATTTTTCAACTAATCTATGAATTATCTAGTCTATAATGTGCCTAAAAGTCATGAAACTATCTCCTTGATATTTTCCCAGATTTCACGATGACCTCTTCAAGCATCTTGTTTTTTTCAGACCAATTCAGAGATATTTAGTTTGCAATCATATAAAAGAAATAAAAGCCGCAAATCCTCAAATTAGGGAAGCTGAAATAATATTTGACATTTCTGCTTTAAAAATAACTTCCAAGATTAGTCAGTTATCCAAGGGGTGTGCCATATCATCTTGTTCACGATAATACCAATATAATTCTTAATATCATGAAAAAGTCATATCATGATAACCGCAATATTTCGACTTGTTGACATATTGATGTCATACTGTTACCCATGGCAACAACAAGCATGGCTGAAAACAAAATTATAACTGACTCTGCTGTGGTTTCAAAAAGAGGAGCAGCTTCAGTAGTGTGGAATAAACTGTGGTGTCCTGAATAATTATAAACAGCCCTGCACTTCTCAGACTCTTTTAGCGAGTTACCGCTCAGAGGGAACTCATTCAGCGGCTCCTCTGGCAGCAGCACAGCATCTCTCCCCCTCCTCTCTCGCAGTGTGCACACAGGAGTCGGTGTCATCAAGTGATTTTGTCATAAATCTTTGGCAATGTAAATCTATGTGACACTCTCAGCTTGACAAAAAACTACATATATGTGAATGTGCAGTAGTTGTGGTATCATAACAGCCTGTCACAGGTTACAGCGTGATGATTGGAGGAGAAATGGCAGAGCATAAAGGTCCAGTCCATCATTTAGGATTTTTTCACAATCACCTGTTGATATATAGATAGATAGATAGATAGATAGATAGATAGATATGTATATATCCCAGGGTACATTTTTTGAATTTATAAGCTGTTTAAATGTGTAATTTGTGGCAGATTTTATTTCGTTGAACTATAAATATTGTATAGAGAATCTGAATGTCACTCTGAGTTACTGTCGTTGTTCACAAACTATATCACAATTCTATTTTGTTAAATGAATATTTTTTTTTTTTTTTTACTAACTTGTTTTATCAACAAGAATATCATAATCCCAAAAATACCCTCAAATATCATGATTTGATTTTAGGGCCTTATCACCCACCCCTAATATTGACTATCAGCTCTACATTTTAATGTAAAACACACTGAGTTTACCTGTCGTGAAATGTGACATAAATAAAACAGCCTTGTCTCACTGAAGGCCCATTTGATCACCTGACCGCCAAAGACAATGCACGTATGTTTTCTCTTCTCTGTTTAATATCACAGATTAAACATTATGGGAATTTCAGGTGTTGCTTTTGCTAAGTAAGCATTTGGCTATGTGTCTTATCAAGCAAGGAAACGGTGGTTAGCTACATGTTTAAGTTGAATGGATGCCAACACCTGCTCAAAGGACTGAAAGCAAAACACGGAACACAATCGGGTTGCTGTACCTGGCACCGTCACCTGCAGTTTCAGTTCAGGTGAAGTGAAACCACAGTAGAGCACAGTCACGTCCATCACAAATCTGAAGCCATGTTTGCACCCTGAAATCACAGCTGTGTGAAGCAGAGGGTCGTAAGATGCTCCTGTCACCCACCTCGTTTGCCTCAGTCTGCTGCTGCTCCCTCTTCTTCTTTTTCTTGTCCTTCTTCTTGTCGTTGCACTGAGCCCCTTTACCCCCGGCTCCTCCTGCCTTGCCTTGTCGGGGCTTCCCGGAGGAGTCCCGTCCGGATTTAGCGGTGGTCTTCCCCGCATCGGATGCGTCAGAGTCCGAATCCGAGTCTATCTGGAGCAGGGCGAAGCGGGAGGCGGTGGTGGGGACGGTGATCATTGCAGACGATGCCATTGCGAGAAGGAAAACTAACTGATGACAAAAGGAGACGAAGAACAATACAGTTAGGACAACTTGAAGCCAGTCATAAAACAACCAGTTAGCGTCTAGTTGCAGCCTATTCATGGGTAAAAACGTCACGTCTCGACCAGCCGCTTTATCTACTGCAACATATTGCACGGTAGATATGTTTCATCATATCATAGTCGTGGTGATGAATGTAATATGATTTCGACTGCACCGTTGCTAACGGTCTGCTGTCAGCTAGCATTACATAGCATCAAGTTAACCTAGCTAACTGCACAACGCTTAGCCGGTGTCGTTAGCTTCTAAACAAGTGCAAAAGTAGCGGAGCATGACAGTCACAAACCTGTTAATGAACTCACGTCGATGTTTTGTCTCTAATACACCCGCTGACTTGTTTTGAAGCGACAGTGCTCACAAGAAAAGTTGCTAAAGAATAGTTTCACCTGTTCGTTAAGGTGCTGTCGGTTACTGTCGGTTTGCTACCAGCGATTGCCCGAGTACAGCTGCCCGGCGGTGCCAAAAAGGATAAAGGCGAATGGTGAATGATCGCCCTCTCGCTTTATCAAGAAAATTAAAACTGTTGTTTCTTCATTGGCTATCCGATCTGATTGGGTACAGTGTGTAGTATGTGTACAGAGTTTTTAACAGAATTTATTATTTTAAGGTAAATCATTGATTGCTCTAGCAAATCAGACCAACTCACAAGATGCTGCTTGTCATGGTCAGATCTCAGTTGTCCTGTCTTCTCTCATGACTAGAAAGTGGCCCTTTGCTTAATAATTTCTGTCAAATTTGTTGTAATATTACTTCACAATTCGGCAAAGGGACCCCAGAACCGAAGCAGCCCCTCAAACCATGGTTTAGTGTGTGCCATTTGGTCTTTTTTTGGGAAATTTGCACCAGTTAGGCTCAATTTGAACCAAGACAGGTATATTTATGAGCTTGTGGCTCTGTCATGTAGAAAAGCAGTCTAATTTTAAGACCTTAAAAATTATATGAAATGTTAGATTATTCATATTTTTCTTTATTCCTGAATAATGTTATGTTCAATCAAATAACCAGAGGAGGGGTAGATTATATTTCTATGTTATTTGGGGGGAAAAAAATATGCATCAAATGTGTTAGTTTTATCTCTAGTTGAAAATAAACGTGCATTCAAGGTGTTGGAAGTATCAGAAAAATTAGTTCCTGACTGGGAAATTCTTGTGCCTCAAGTCGCTACAAGTCAGAAAATCTGCAAAAGTTTTAGTACACGGCTTGCCGAGTGTACATCATTACGCAGAAAGATGGTGGATGAAAGTTTACATAGCTTATCAATTTTCTGCTCATATGTAATTTGTGACGTGGTATTGTAAAGTGTAAGTGGACCAAGATTAGTTAGAAAACTTATATATCAGCATTAACCCTGATAACAGGTCAGGTAAAACAATATTTTAGTGGTTTTAGCAAATGGTGCAGTACAGTGGGATTTACAAGTCTGGTGGGTTAAGGGTGAAGGGCTGGAATGAGCCCACACAATAAAGACAGGGCAGTGACACATGCACATTGGTCAGTTTAATACATTAGACTGTAATCATTGATGTAAAAAAACCCCCACAGCAATCAACATATATCTAATGGTACACAGTGCACACAGTTAGAAAAAAAAATGTATCAAAAAAATCAAATGCATATAAAAACACTACAAACCTTTATATTGCTGTTCAGAAGACATTTTGTATGTAGTGGTCATTTTTAAGTGCTAAACAGTGCTGAACATTAAAGGGCAAAGGAGAAAGCACTTCTTTCTATAGTCACCATTTGATTACATTTAACAACAGGTTGATGAACATGTTTTCCCTTACTTATTGTATCGTTTAAAATATACACTGTATTATAACATTGTAAATTATATCAGGAAAAGTGCTGCTTTTTGTATTAAATACCCCATTCCTACACACAATGCACACAATATTTTAAAACCTGTTGTATGTCTTTATCTAGGACAACAGCTTGAAGCGAAAGATCCAGAGAAAAATGGCAAGTCTAGCATTGTATTTGTAAAAAAAAATGATGTGAAGTTACTGGAAATTTCTCTCTGTATGTCACAATCATCAGGGTCATTCTGTTGGCATGACTACACTGGCCCTTCTTTGTGTTTTCTTCTCCTACTGAATGGCAAAACTCCACAACGTTCAGCAGGACTGGGGAAATCTGTGACGACCACGGAAGACGGATACATAGGAGACAGTGTTATGACAAGAGACTGAACTGGTTCACAGTAAAGACATTTCGATATTCACCACATTTCAGTCACTTTCTTCTTCTCTTTTCAGTCCTTAGTGAGTATGAGCATGCATTAAATATACACCAGTATGCAGATTATATGCAGTAAATTAATGGCTGCCTCTAACTGACCTCAAAGCCCCCAAAAGTCCTTAAATTAAATATTCTCCAACAAAAAAAATACATTAACATTTTCACAGGATACTTAGGATTCATAGGTTTCTTTGTTCATATTCAGTGAGCTTTTGCCATTGGTTATTTATGACACACACTTCCGTTTGTTTACTAGCACCCAACTGGAATCTGCTGTACAGACTGTTGCTGCCAAGTGACTCATAGATACCATGCTAACATCATCTGTCATTGTTTCTGGGCACTTCTATGGAGTCCTCCAGCATTGACTCTGTGCTGGTATCAACAGCAGACTGTCGCCTCCCTGTGGCAGAACTACAAACCTGCAGGTCAGCTGGAAAGATCTGCCTCAGCTCCCTGCGACACAAACGAACTGGTGTCACCTCTAAATTTTCCCCACAGGAACCAGCCCCTCTTTCACTCCTCCCCTGTGTGTGTGTCTGGCTGGAGTCAGGCAATTTGGTGGTTTTGTGTGCTTGAAGGTCAGCAGATGAGGAGGGACAGGGGGTATGGTGTCTCTTCATATGAGAAACGTCGTGTGTCTTTTTGTCTGTTTGCTCAGAGTGTATCTTTGTGTATGTTGTTGCAATGTGTGTCCTTGTCTGCACCTCTTCAGTGTGTGTCTGGGGTTTGTTTGCATGTGCGTATGTCTGCACACTGTGTGTCTGTTTGTGCTCCTGTGAATGTGAGGGCTGATCAACTGGGTGCAGGGCATCACTGAGAAGCTCTTTGACTTTCTTTTTGAGCTGCCGACTGGAGCTTTTGTAGAAAAACAGCTCTTTCTCCAGATGCTGCAGTCTGTCTTCGATTGCCTGCTGTATCTCTCCTGAACCACCCTCTGAAACACACACACAAAAGTATATGAAACAGCAATATTTATTAAATTTCTGGAGGGGAATAGGACAAAAAAAATCACATTCAAATTGTTTTGTCCAGGCAGAAGTAAGTCCCTCACCTTTAAGTTTCTGCAGTAGTAGCTGAATGTTGTTCTGGTGCTCTCTGTGCTGCTGGGTGAGCCTGCGGTCTGCATCCAGGGCCAGGCGCTGCATGGCGACCTCCATCTCCCTCAGCACCGCCTCTTGCTCTCCAGCTTGAAGCTCCAGCTCCTCACAATGCAGACGCAAATGGCGCTCCGCCTCACGAAGACAAACAACCTAGAGAGGTCGATAAAGGTGGGAGGGAGCAGGAGAAACACACATTATTACAAATAAATTGGGCGTAGCTTTGTTTACTCTCACACCTGCGGAGAAAAATCAAGGACAGAGCAGAACATTTGGGAGGGAGTTCATTATGGTGCAAACAAAACCTCCTGGAGAGAAGCTGATATAGTTCATGATGGTATTAACACGCATCAGCTGGATAGATGGAGAACACGGGGGAGCATTAGGGGAACAGAGAGACGGAGGAGGTATAATTTAATTAGCAATACAGAAACAGTGTAGCTGCATTTCTGACTCACAGGAAAACATCAGCTGGAGAGAGAAGAAAGGGAAGGTAAATAATGGAGGAAGAGAAAAGGATAAACAGAAAGCTGGACCAGAAAGAGTCAGCATTCAGTTTATGTCTGACCACAGTAGAATACATTGCTGTTGTTTTTTTATAAATTAATAAACATGTTTTAAGCAAACCAGACACCAGGCACGCTTAAAATATCTGTAAATATAAAATAACAGGAAAACAAAGGGAGGGCAGAGTTAACAAAGTGAAGACAAATAAACAACATTCACTTTGCATGCAGAGATGAATGTTGTGTATATATTTTATATGTGTGCATACATGTTATCTTACCTTGTTGAAATATTTAACGAGCACCTCTGAAGCCTCAGGCCGTGAGAGCTCCTTCAGCTTCCTGATGACATCACAGAGTTGGGCAGGTTCAGTGCTTTGTGGCTGATGCGAGGAATAATCTGTGATTAATAACTTCTTTTGTTTGTCCTGGATGGAGCTGTTTTTAAACTCCAGAGCTGCATCCAGAGCTTCGATAGCCTCCTCCAGCTGCAGCAGGGAGTGCTCCTCCTAGATGGAGACATGCACAAAAGAAAAATAATGCAAACTGATTATCAATGTGCGAGACATACATCATGTATATCATACACATGTACAATGCTCCCTTTGTTCTGACCTCCACAGTGAGCACTCTGTTGTCCTTCAGCTGGGTGTCCAGAGCATCTCTCCTCTTTCTAAGTGCATCTCTCTCCTTCTCCAGATCCTCCATGGTGACTCCTCCAGTCTGCCTCACACTGCTGCTGCTCTGCAGCTGCTCCTCCAGAGACTCCAGCCGCACCGACACACGCAGCAGGTCTTGATTCAGAGCCTGAAAAGTCATTGAGGAAAAAACTCCCAGATTCTGGCTTTATTAAAACATGTTGCCCTAATCCGTACTTGTCACTGATAATCGGCTACAGTACAATAAACACCTGACACTAAATCACATGGGCACCACCACATAGACAGGCTGACCTGACTGGAGCGTAGCATCTTGATCTCCAGTTTGTTTTTCTGTTGCAGACAGGCCTCCCTGTGCAGGAGCACCTCTTCTCTCCTCCTCAGCTCCTCCTCCAGCTCCTGCAGCTCGGCTCTTTTCTGAACCACCCGCTCCTCCTCCTCCTCCAGCCAAATACAGTCACGCAGCTACAGTGACAACACCAAGAAGTGAGGAGTGTGAGGAGGGAAAAAAGGAGCAGAGAGGGAGAAGGGGTAGAGGAGGAGGAAGATGACAAATTAAGAAGAAGATGAGGAGGTATAAATTGTAACAAAGGAAGGAGAGGTTGTATATAAAAGTTAAGCTGTCAAAATGGATATTTTCGAAGGAGAAGAAGCAAAAAACTAACCTTTTAAAGAATTTACACTGCTATATTTAATCTTTACCTTTTCCTTTGGCTCTTCCTGGTGATTGTTTTTGCACATGGTCAGATCTCCTATCCGTTGCTCCTATAAACAAAGATAAAAATCATGTACTCAGAGGACTCATTAATAATTTACCCGTGCTGAGTCTCAGCTGTTACATCTTTTTTTGGTTGTTTTGATTTCCCAATGAGTCTAACTTAACTCAGCTGAGATGTTGTGTGGATGATATGCACACTGCCACAAAGGTTTAATTTGTACCGAGATCAGGGTTAGTTCAGTGAACCTGGTCTTAAAATTATCAGATGCATGATCAGATTTATATCTAAACTTCGGCTGAACCAACTTTATTACACTGTGTTGATATACTGTTGCTTCAAAGTTTCCTAGCTGAACTGGCTGTGGGCTATGAGAAAGAATCAAATATCTATCAACATGGTCATAAACACAACTGTGTTAACCCTTTCTTTCTTGGGAATTTGCTCATGTTGCTAAAGCTTCATATCTTTATCTCTTTTCCTGTTTCACTGTCCAGACATTGTGTTTAATGTAACTGGGATCATTTTTAGAACACAAACCCCATTTTGGTCTTTGTTGCTGTTGGTCTCTCTCTGCTGCCTGAGGCTGCTCTGAAGCTGTGCTCTCTGCAGCCTCATGTGCTGCAGGCTGCGGTACATCTCTGCTCGGACCTGCTGGCTCTGCATATACAGTTTTGTCAGCACGTCGGCTTCTCTGCCATCACCACTGTGCCTGATGTGCCTGTCCACCGCTTGGGTCTCCTCCTCTGTCAGGCAAATACACATATTTAGAGATGCAAATATACTGAAACTATTATATTATGATTCACTGGTGTTGTGCAGTTGTTGCTGGAGCTTCAGTACAAAATCTTAGTTGATCTAAGGTGAAAAGGAATTTGCCACCCATGGTAACCAATACAGGATTATAATCAAAACTGGTTTTGTACAGACTTCAAATCTCCATTTTGTCCCACTTTGCTACTTCACAAGACCTTGGCTCAGGGGGGCTAGCTGCAGCAGCATTGTTATCTCAAACCTGAATTTTTTTCATACCATTTTCTGCAAACACTGTCCACAAGGTTCATCTTTTGCCAATCAAGGCCATCATTTTAAAATGACTAGACACTGCATAGCAACTATGCACATGCCTTGGCTCCAGACATGTTGTTGACAATAAAAAAAATCCCATTTACTGCATATTTTTCTGACATTGATGTAGCAGCTTGGGTACACATTACTGTCTGCTACAGTACATATTTCAGAGCATTCCTTTAGAAATTTAAAATTTTCAAACTAACAACATAGAGTAGACCAGAATAAGACTAGACTAAACTCCCTTCGTAATAATGTGATTATCAGATTTTTACTTTGAGCTATTGACATTTATGTAATGCTACTTTGTCTGTGTCTGCATACTTCTCTCTGCTACAGTTGTTGTCCTTGAAATTCTAAATATACTCAGCAGAAGCCTGTGGAAGCAGCAGGAAGTTCCTGTTCAGTGCTGCAGGAATGTTCTTACCAACCTTGGCTACCACAAAAAAATCAGCCCAAGATTTCCATTGTTCTTGCCTCAGTATACCACGCTGAGTAGAACTACAGACCAACAAACACAGGAGTGTAGGAATAAACAGTATGTATTTATATAAACACACCAGTTTTGTCGAGCTCTTTGATGAGCTCCTCTTTCATGCGCATGCTGAGTGAAAGATCTTGGATCCTTTTCTGAGTAGCGCTGGCGCTAAATCTCGCCTTCCTCATATGGATATGCTTGGAGTGGTTTTCAGTGGTCCCTGAGAAGAAAGAGCAACTGAGAACGTAAAAACTGAAACAACTTCTTGGATATTAAATAACTTCTTGGAATGTTAAAGAAGAAACAAAAGACTGCAAAGTGAAGTCAAATACATGTTAAGTTTACCTGTGGCTCTCTGAGACTGTTGTCCTGATGGCTTTCCAGTAGATGTTGGGTCTAGTCCAGAGTTCTTCTCTTTCAGAGCTGGTTTCTTCAGTCGGCTGGTCCATGTTTGGTTCAGAGCACGCCTGGAGTAACGTTAGAATATTTCAGATACTTTCAGATTAACTCATTGCTGTAGGAAAAATACTGCTCTAAATAAAAGGTAACTGATCCGTGTGAAACTTTTGTATTTCTGTTTTGCACGGCACACCTGCACTACTCTTGTAAATTGTGTTAAAGTAGAATGAAAAAGACTGCTATGTTGGAACCTGGCATTATTAATTCCCAAACATGTCTGAAGAAAGCAGAGGGTTCCTTGCCACATCTCCACAATCGCTCCTAAGGATTTCACATCTCCTTTATGCCCCAGGATTTGCATTGCATAAACTGGGAGGCTGTGAGGAACCCCAAAACCATTTTTTTTAACCGGTTTGATCCACAGAAGGGCACAGCTGTTGGTGTGGTTCTTAAGAAACAGTATATTGCAACAGCTTGTTGCTGGCTGCTCACATTTTTAATTAATTTACTACACTGTGTAAGCCATGTACAATGCACTGCACCTAAAGCGGGAGTAAAGTTGGAGGCTGGAGATGAAACCTTTATTACTGGGGAAGCAGTAATTCAGTCCGTGTTAACTTGGCTTGGACACTAGAGGGTCACCACTTCAAGACCACTTACGGACCAAGTACAGAGCGTGGATTGGTAGCTGGAGAGAAGCCAGTTCGCCTCCTGAGCAGTGCAGAGACACCAACATGGGGCTGTTGTCCATGGGCAGCCCCCTCGCTCTGATGTGTCTCCATTAATGCAGATGTGTAGGTCTTGTTTGTGCAGGTGTGTGTATTCTGGCCTGTGTGTGTGTAATGTGTAAAAATAGCAACAGAGTGAAAAAACTGAATTTCCTCTCAAGGATCAATAATAAATAAAGTATATCTCTCATTATCAATAAAATGACCACAACTAAAACAGCATTTTTGCTGTCATTTAAATGTTTCTACTCGCTGAAATATGTTTAAAAAAAAAGATGAATGGAAAGTATAGCGTGCAAGGTCTGTGTGATTTGTGAGAGGTCGACTTGGGTGCACCAACTAAACTGACAAGTGCTTTGTTGACCTGTTGATCAGGTGGGTGGCCGCCATCCTTGAAACCAAAATTGTATTGTGTCACTGGAGTGACAATGAAACACCCTCCCACTGTACCTCTCTTCCCACGCTGGTGCATAGAGGGTCACTGCTACACAAAGCAGGAGCAGGTGACAAATAAATGTTCCCACACCTAGTGGCTGAAACTGTATGTGTTATATGCAGTGAATCACTGGTGGCTTGACAAAGAAAGAACCAGTAGGGTTGTCTTAAACAGGCGCTTACCTAAATCCCATTCTGCCCACAGAGACATCATCCTCATCCTCCTTCTTTTGAATCCCGTCTTTGCTCTCTGCTTGTTGTTTTATGAATGGAGAGTAAACCTCATCCCTCTCCTCGATCTCAGCCAGCAGGAGATGACCGCGCATCTTAAAGGCTGCCATCACTCTCTCCAGTGAACAGGCCGGGGGACTGGAGTGAATCTATAAAACACACATGCATTAGGACAAATAAATGCACCATGAACAACAGAGTGTGGGTGCCCATACGATTGTACAGAGCAACACAAGTGCAACAGATAAACACACAAACAACTACACACACACACACACACACACACACACACAGAACAAAACAGTACAGCTACCTACCCTCCTGGGAGGTCCGCGTCCACAGCTGTGTGTGACCAGAGGGACACTGTGGGGTCTCTTGCCTGAGCTCCCAGAAGCCCTTGTTTCTACAGTTGCACACCTAAAGGTGAAAAGGTCACTGCGAAGACGAATGATGAATATCTGCTGGTCCACAAGTTGTTCAGTCTGACAAAAATTCACATACAAATGTGCACACGGTCATTTTATTTGCAGTTAACCTACACTGCTGAAGGTGTCAGTGTCCTTTTCTGCTGTGTTATAGAACTGCGGTCTTTCCTCACCTGTATACGAGTACGTTCCTTCTCTTCTTTCAAGGCTTGAAGATGGGTTTTTCGCTCTTGTAGAAGTTTCTCTACTTCTTTTTGGACCTGTCTTAGCTCTTCATCTTTCTGCTCAAATAGCTGTTCCTCTGTGGTGAGAGCTTCCTAAAACACAGACAGAGAGAAAATGAGACAGGGAGAGTTTTCTCTTTACCTTGACTTGTCAATTTGTTTTGAGAAGTTCAGAAGTTAAGGCTTTTGGTGGCATGAACTCCGCTTAGACAATAAAGGACATTACATTGTGCTCTCACTACTACTAGATGGCATAAAAAAGTGTCCACGAATGAAGACAACAGGTCTAAATTAAGAAGAATTAAGTATAAGGTCAAGCAAACCCAAAATGTGATGTCCACATGTGAGGACACAGGGTCTCAGGAGGATATTTTAGGTGCATCCACTGATGTCCTAGTCCCTCATTTACCCCCACCCGTCGAAGCATCAATTAATCGCAAAGCTTTGATGCCCCAAAACTGGTATTTGAGACAGTCCTTAATAGAATGTAGCCATTATAATACCGATCTGATGTTTCTTTTTCACTGACTATCATTACCTTGCATTTGTTGAGTTCCTCTCTGAGCTTTAATATGGCGACATGGTGGGGGTGATCTTCTCCTCTGTCTGAGCAGTCCTTCTCATCAGCTTGATGTGAGTGATTGACAGCAGTCAGTCTCTCCTGCCAGTCCTGCAGCCGCTCCCTGAAAGAATGACTCGGAGTGGGGCCGGTGATATCTACAAACATGGCTGCAGCTTCCTGTGCCAGGACGCGGTACTGTGATAGCTCCTCATGGTTCACCCTCTTATCTGAATCAGACATCCTCATCTGACTGGAGCTGTCAACCTCTCCAGCTCTTCCAACTGCTCTCTCCCTTTCCATCTCCCTCTCCTTCTCCTTTAGGAGCTCTCTCAGTGTTTGTACTTCATACTCGAGCTCGCCCAGTCGAGCCTCACCAGGGTCCCAGGTCGCCAGACATGCCTTGACTTCTGTATGAGCAGGTGTAGCTCCGGGACGGTTACGAATGTGACGAGCCTTGGAGGCAAACTGCAGGACACTCAGAGTCTCAGCTACACTGTGGTGAGACGGGCTTACACACGCCACCATCAGCGTGTGAGCGGTGCCTCCCAGTGAGTCACGGAGGAGACGGGTGATCTTTGCATCACGGTACGGTATATGCGCACTGCTGCAGTTGTTACCACGGCGATTTCGACCAGGGTCGGAGAGGGCACGGATGACATTGCCCAGAGCGAGCAGGCCTGTGTTGATATGAACTGACTCTTTGAGCCGTGTCCCAGTGTTTCCAGTTTTCCCAGCACGCTCTGAACCCGCCAGGTCGACCAGGCAGAGTTTGGACGAGCGGACAGATTTCAGGGAGGAGTTGTTGTTGTGGCAGCACTGGATGAGCTGGAGGGTGAGGATGGTGTGAGAGCGACTGGAGTGCTCATTCATCCCTGTGGTGCCGGTGTGACGCAGGGCATTGCCTGTCTCTAGAACACTCAGTAGTTCCTCTGCTGAGGTGATAACCATCTCTTTGGCTCCCATCACCACTGAAAACACAAAGAAAACCACACACTGATCATTTCTAATCAAACATCACTGTCCTCAGTGGACAGGGATCCAGTGTACAAACCAACCAAGTCCAAACTTGGCATTCTGTGACATCGAAAATTGTCTTATGTCCTTTTTAAAAATGATCATATGTTTGTCACATTTGCCTGCCAGACAAAAACACTTCACTTACCTGTGTTTCCCTTCTCATCCTCTCTGATGTGAAGCTCTTTGTGAACGGTCTGCAGCTCCAGCAGGTCTCGCAGCTCCTCCCTGTACAGCTCCATATATGAGACCCGCACTGTGGCTTCCACACCATCACTGTTCTTCTTCTTCTCCCCCAACAACAGGAACACATCCTGGGCCACACGGTCAATAATCCCTCCCTCTTCATCTGGAAGGAAGAAACACATACCGTAAAACTTCAATTAATAGCTGCTTAAATCACTGAAATCAACAGGCCTATATTTGGGACAGGCCTGTAATTCCTTTCACACAAAACTGTTGCTCAGCAAAAACAATTTTAAAATTGTTTATTTAAATCAGTATGAATATTACTTGTTTAAAAATTAGCCTTCAGATAATACATCAATTATGAATTGTTCATTTGAGCTAGCTCAGACAGACAGCACATCAGAGAGACAGAGAGTTATGGCACCCGGCATACCGACACAACACCACTTTATCCTGTTACAACAATATTTAAAATTTGGATTGATTTTTATGGAAAACCCTTTTGATTATTTTGATCTGAGGACCCTTACGGACTAATAGAATGTGAATAAATTACAGGGTAATCGAGGAATGGACACAAACTTTGAGGTAGTCAACAACCCTGTTTAATACATCAACAACCAGACCAGGCCTCTATTTGAGACAGACCTTTATTCATCAAAATGTGTGGCTACATCAAGCTAGTAAAGGTGACTGGGTGTTTAATTGAGACTAGACTTTAAATTGAAGTTTTAGGGTAGTTATAAAGTACATGTTGCAAAGAGCAGAGAGTGAAACATTAGAAGAGCCAAATCTGTGAGGGATAACAATGGGGCAACAGCAAATAATCACTGGTCAGAAAAGCTTGTTTAGGCCTTCAGATATAGTCTAAGACTACAAAAAAATTAAACTAAATTCTCAAAAGCATGCCATTTAAACACTGCTTCCTTCACTACCTAAAATCCTTGAGTGCCAGCTTGAAAAACTCAAAGAAATGTTTCAGCCTCTGGTCTGCCATCCATTTTGCCCAAACTTGTTTGTCCTGTCCCTCTAAAACCCTTACCTGCACCCCAGGCAGACTGGGTCCAGACGTCCCTCATGCTGGGGGGAAAACGTATTAGCCACCTTACCACCAGTGAGGGGTGTCTCTCCCAGTTGCACACAACAGCCTCTCCTTTAGGCTTATTAATCAGGTGGAGATATACTATGCTACGTGGGCTAATTACATCTCCTTTATTAAAGGTCCCTGATTTAACTATAGCTGGCTCATATCCTTAAAAATGATTTAGAAATGTGTCATGTGACATTCAGTTATTTTCACATCTGCCAATGATAATTTAATTCTTTTTTTTCATTTACTTATGTCTTCTGTACTACTTACACAACTGTGTAACCTCTCCAGAGTCCTTGTACCCTATTTTTAACAGATTTACATGGCCATATGATGTATCCCATGCTGTTTTTTCTACTTAAAAGAAAACAATAAAAATTACTGATTATAAAAAAGAAATGTTTAAACAGTACATAAGACCACCGGGAGCACCTTTAACACACAGTAAAGATGCTCTGATATGCTATTTTTTTCATTTTAAGCAGAAGAAGAATTTTCCAATTCTTCTAACATAATAAATATAGCTTTCATATGTCATTTGTGTTCTCTTAAACTCATTTCAGGGGTGAGAAGTGCCACCTCCACTCACCCAGGTTCCCTCCTCCGAGTGTGTAAGTCTTCCCTGACCCTGTTTGTCCGTAACAGAAGACGGTGGCGTTGTAGCCGTGCACCAGGTACTCCACCAGGGGCTGGACGCAGGACTCGTACACCTCATCCTGGTTGGCTGTGGGTCCAAACGCGTGGTCGAAGGAGAAGAGTCGGTCTGAGCCCAGCATCACCTGGGCTGAGCCCGGCACCACCCGAGCACACACCTGGTGGTTGTGGAGGACTTCTTTGGGGAGCAGGGGACGGATACGGAGCGCCACCCGGACACACACCTCGCTCATGACGGTTACTGTAGAGTTACTGTAACCCTAACCCTAATGTAACGGTACTTTATGGAGTTCACTGTCAGTTGAGCTGAGGTCAAACTTTGTATTTGAGTTCTTAAACGTGTTTAACAAGAAAAAACACGAGCTAATAATCTACATTTTACCAAAACAAACCGTCTGGTGCTGTGTGTTAAGGTGTTGTCCTCTCCGTTTGGCGTGTTGGTAACTTGGTCCCATCTCCCGTTTGTTGTCGCTGCTCGGTTGCCCGGGAAACCGCCGCCGCGATGACGTAGCAGTCAAGGAGAGCAGGTGAGGCGTTCAAGAGCATTCATGGAGGGCGGACCGAGCGGTACGTGAAGGCAACAGCGCCACCCTCTGACATTGTCATATGTGCAAAACTTTTCATTATGTACAGAAGTATTAGCATCAAAATAAAATGTACATGTTTTCAACGACATTTAGTTGTTTGTAGTTGTTTTAATATTTTAGTATTTTATATTTTTTTCACGTATGTAATTGTTCTTACCGATGTTATTCTGTTTTATATTTGTGTACATGTTATATTGCTATATACTGGTGTGTCATTACTTTAATTTGTGCAGCACTTTGGTCGCTTTGTTTTAAAAATGTGCTGTATAATTTTATAATTTTATAATTTTAATTTGATTTGATTTGAAAATATAATTTAAGTGCAGAAAGTAAAAGTATTTGGCCAATGTCAGAATAGTATATTTTAATATCACTGGATTATAATTATCAATGCATTCATGTGTTCATGACTTTAAGGTAGAGCTCATTTTCATTACTTCATGTAGGCCCACTGCTGGGTAATTTAATCTGTAATGATACACAATAATTTATTAGTTGATTATATTTTGAACTGATAATCAGAATCTGTCAAGTAACGAGTAACTGAATTAAAACTGCCTCCAAGATGGAGGGGAGTAGCAGTAGCAGAAAAATGGAAATACTAAAGTGAAGCACAAGTACCTCACTGTTTTATATTATAAGTAGAATACTTAAAAAAAATAAAGTAAAATAATTAATTAATTATTAATAAACAAAATCAGCGTGCCATTTAATGCCATCCTGAAATAAGGCCATTTAGAAGTAAAAAAAAAATCTGTGATTAAGTAAAAATGAACTCAAAAATTATGATTAGATGATATCATATTAATCATGTTTTAAAAAATATTTTATGAATTTATTTGAATATTTCATATATTTTTTAATTTATTTTTTATTTTATTAATATGCCTGTATATTTTATAATGACTTATTTGAGGCTCCCATGTTTTTCTTTATAAATATACACAATAATATTCAATATCCAATTTAAACCTCTTAAAACACCTTTTCCTAATAGCTACCTCTCATGCTTTATTATGCAATACTTATCACTAACTAACCATATCTTATTTCCCCCGAGGAAAAGTTACATCTTGTATGATATTTCTGATATTAATTAGAGGCTGATGGTTCTTCTCCTGCCTTTTCTTTCTCTTCCTCCACCCATACACTAGATGCGTCCACATAATTTGAGCTATAGAATTTATTTTATCTAATTTCCAGTCACTTTGGATACAGTAACCACACATTCCAGATGCTTTTAGTTCACCTAAATAGTGTTTTTCTGATCTGACACTGAACCTTTCCTTTTGTGATCACTAAATATATTATAAATCTCTTCAAAAACTTTCTTTAGGAGTTTCCCTGCAGACATCCTGCTTTAAAGCAGTGGATGATATGAAATATGATTCCCAGTAATTAATCATTGCAGCATTACTTTAAAATAATTAACTTGGAATATCTAATCAAATTATTTCACTTTAACTGTTTGATGAATTTCAGTTTAAAAGTTCAAACCATCACAAACAGGCTGATGAGTCCACCCTTGTATGTTCACATAAAGTATATCATCATTTGTGCTTCGTTGCAGTGAGACCTTTATTAGAAAATGTTCCATATCAACAGGAGTAAACATTTTAATTGACTGCAAAGGGACAACCGTGCATCTTTCCACATAGGCCAACAAGCTACATTAAAACTTGACACCTCTTTCCATTACAGCCAGAGAGAAACTTGTTTGTACATATATCTGGCACAGAGACGTGATTGGCTTTTTCCCAGGGAGAGGCACTGATGCCAAAGCTGCACACTGAGACGTGCAGCCTACTGTATGTGCTGCTGCCAGGCAACCCATCAGTAGTAAATACAGCGTGTGTGGTGTATAAGAATGTGGGCCATCTCTTTATGGTGCTGCTTGGCGTAAGGCCAAAGGTAGAAGTCGATGATCGCTGAGTTGACATTGCAGGTCTGTCCGTCTCTCTCCTGCACCAGCTTGCACAGACGGTCTTTGATCAGCTCCACAGACCAAATCGAACAACCTCGGATCTCGACCTCCCTCCTGTCCCCTGAACTCAGCAGCTCGCCTGAGAGAAAAGGGAGGAAATGCAAATTATACCTTACTATTCCTAAATGACTGGTTTATTTACGAGCCGAGAATGAACACATACACTCCTGTCTCACCATTTCTTAGCGCCTGCATTAGTGCTTCAGAGTATCGTAGCGCTCCGAGGTACACGAGACCCTGAGGGACCCTGTAGTCTGCAAACATGGTGAGCCAGTCCATGCCAATGATGTCTCCCTCTCCTCTGGCCTCCATGACGCCCCAGAAATCTGCCACCAGGATCTGGGCTCGCTTGTAGAAGGAGACTCTCTTACCCTGAAACAAACATTGGTGCAGCTCGACACTTGCTTACACAATATGTACTATCTGATCCACTGCTAGACACATGTTCTTACACGAAGACAATATCATGGCAAAAATTCATGTGCAAAGAGCATCATTTACTCCTTAACTGACTTAATAATATGAAGAGAGCATTATTGCCACACTGTCTTTGGCCAGGAGGTGGAACTCTCACATCACGATTTATCTTAGGTTTTCCAAATGCATACATTTATCTCAGATTAAATACACTTCCTATATGCTTTCAGTGTTTTATCCTTGTTGTATATTTTCATTAGACGATGAGTTCAGAGTGTCCACACAGCTGGACAGTACATACAATGCACCCTGGAGAAAAACTGCCTCTATGAAATTAAAAAGATAAAAAACCTCAAAGCCATTTTTCCTCAAATGTTGTGAAAGGTCCAGCTTATATGTTTGTAAAAGGAAACCTATCCAACCAGAAATTATGATTACTTTAATATCTGAGATGTGAAAAAAATTTCAAGGATGCTTTGTCGGAGCAAACATGAACTTTCATCCACTAAATTCCAAACACGAAATATTCCACAATTTCAGATTCATCCATCTCTAACTCTGACCTCATATGTAGCTTCGTCCCTGTAGGAAGGGATCTTCTCCACGATACGTTCCACCATCTTCCGGGCATCGCTCCCGGCTTGGCTGATAAAACTCCGGAAGCTTCCGCCGTGTTCCTGTAGCACGCGGCCACCTTCAGTCAGCACCTTGTGAAAAACATTCAACATGTGATGTGTTCAAATTTAACTATGAAGATGAGTGGGAGGTTAAGAGCTGCACATTTTAGATTTCCAATTATCCTAAAGGGAATACAGTTTGGCTCATAATGTAACACCAACAGACAAAAATAATAATTATGTGAGCTTTAAAATCTATTTCTAATGTCTTTCTTTGACAGAGTAAAACACACAGAAACAATATGATCCGAGACACCTTAGTTTCTAAGTAGAGATGTAATTAGAGCTGCAACGAGTCATCCATCAGTTGTCAGCTATGGAATTAATTGCCAACTAATTTGGTAATCAATTAATCAATTTGAGTAGTTTTAAAGAAAGTCCAAATTCTCTGATATCAGACTCTTAAAAGTGAATATTTTCTGGTTTCATTGAGGACGTCATCGAGAAAATAACTGACAGATTGTCAATGAAAATAATCATTAGTTAATAATATGCTGGTTTTTGATTTCGAGGACCTTCTTTGTTGAGAGTTTATGATTGGAGAGATGAGATGATACATCATGTTTGTCTTTAAACTGAGAAGTTTTAAACATAAAATAAAAACACAAGGAACACATGTATCAGTCGTGATACCGATGTGAAATCAATCAAGCAACTTGTGAATGTTGATGATTGTTACAGTCTTAGTACCACAAACATTAACATGATAATGTTAGAACCTGGTGGCGCTCCTTCAGCATGGGCATGGGTGTTTCATTGTCTGATCGAAGGACGTGTCCCAACTCCTCCACACTCATCTGAGAGAAGTACTTGGGATCAGTGATAGGTATTCCTGTGGGGAGAGTGGGAGAGCTATTCAGATACTTGACTTAAGTAAAAGTAAACCTATGATAGTCGAAAAATACCCCCTTTGGAATTAAGGTAATGAATTCCAACTTTTACTCAACTAAAAGTACAGAATAAAGATCAATAAATGTAACATACTTAGTATGCAGAATGGCTCTTTTCAATGTTACATCTTAAAAATGTATTGTGTCATTAACTAAGACATAAAGGAAACACTTTGCACACCAATAAAAAAGACAGGTGCGTTGGAGAGACAAGACCAAAAAGTTGCAAAAGGACTCCCGCACACTGCAAATAAATTATTTATTTCAAGTTAGACAGTGTGCAAGAGTACTTTTGCAATTAACTATGACATGAAATGAAAGAAAGAATGAAAGAATTTTAATGTAGAGTTTGTCAATGAGGAGCCAATTTTGAAAACTTTATAAACTACTGAGTAGATTATAGTACTGCATCATACCATATAAGCATATCATATGCTTTTTTTTAATGTTTATTGTCATTTTCAATACAAACAATAAACAAGTAAACAAGCAGTTGCATCCACAAGTACCAGACACTTATATTTTATGTTTTTCACACCTTTTCAAAATAATTTTTAACCCAATTTACAATTTACTTTTTAGAAAAACAAAGCACATTTTTCTCGTTCAAGCATCGCAGGAAAGTATAATATATGTGGCTCAACATTTTGCCAGCAGGTAAGTATAAGTAGAAAGTAAAATGACAGTATCAGGTTCAGTGGTAGGTTTATAAATTTGTAACATCAGAATTGTGGACTCATCCAGACGAGCTTGATTCATTTTAACATAAAGAAGAAATCTAAATATGGATAAATGAAATTAAATAAAATGTTTGTGGCAATAAACACCTCACAAATTCAAATTTAAGACTATTTAATGACAATTAAA